AAGTTGGGTCGTCTGCAGGCCATCCTGGATATGGCTTTCCTGATTTCAGGGTGGATTTGATTAGTTCCAGTTTGGGGGGAGGGCAAATAGGCTCTGGAACTTTCATTGTCATTGCAGTGTGTCGCCTTTTGACTAAGAGAAGCGACATTCCTTGCTAACAATGAGCTAGCATTGAGCAGACCCAGCCAGTGGACCTGTGATACCCACATTTCCATCAGAAGGCACAGGCGTGACAGCGGTCAGTCCTTGACTGGTCCCAAGAGGCCCACAGGTGCTCTGAGTGTAAAGAACAGGCAGGCACAGAAATGGTGAAACCAGGGCTTTCCTACTCAGGTCACTGGACGGTGGTTTTATTTGCCCTTCCAAGAAGAAATGCACCCCAAATCAGCTGTTGGATTTGAACAAATGGAATAAAGGGTGGCAGAAAATGGAGGGACAGAGGCCAGGAGACAGAGGAACCGTGTGCCGTCCCTGGAGCAGAGGTAATGTTATAAACAACCTTGGTCAGTGGGCGCAGCCCTGGAGTTAGATGGCGATTCATTTTAACTAAACGCTAAGTGAAGCAGTGGCCTTTACCGCCTCTTCTCAGTTACAGCAGACAATAGCTTTGTTTTTCTCTGCCACTTTGTCAACAACATTTTCTTCATTTCCTTTCTATGAGCACGCTGCTGCTACTGTCCCGCCGCGCCCCATCTCCTGTGCTCTGCTGCTGCCATGTTTGTTTTGCCCAGTCCGTCCACACTGGTGACACTGGTCAAGCCAAGTCCACTTGGGCAAATTCTGACTTGTCAAACTATGCTTCCTTTTTTCCTAAAGAAAAGGGCTTGTGTGTGTCCAGAAGTGGACCACCTCTCGTGACTTCTGTGGATGCCACCTTGGCCTGGGAGTCATCATCATCTCTTGCCTAGTAGCTGCGACATCCCAGAGTCCATCTCCTCTCTCTCACCCTGGCCCCGCAGTCTGCTCAATGCAGCAGGCAGAGGCCCCTCAAGCAGGACAGGCTGGATGAGGCTTGCTTAATTTTACCCGCTGGCATTTGTCACATCAGTTATTCAGCCTCTTGGGATGGGACAGGATTTAAATGTGTCCAGAAATAGCTGCAGGGATTCGTGCTTCCTCCTCGGCTGTTCAGGAGAGCCTGAGCGGTTTGATTGTGGAGGAACCAAGAGGAACAGAGGAGATGGTAGGAATGTCCCTAATCGGGAGAGGAGACCAGCGCGTCACTGGTGTGGACAAAAAATAAAACGCCCAATTTTATTTTTATAGTGTGAGTTACTGTCTTGCCTGTTGGTAACTGAGTCACCAAGAGTCTGCTCTACTTTGGCTGCCAGCTGCTCCGTCCTGGATTTGGCCTTCCTGCTTTTAGGGTGGGTTTGCTTGGTTCCAGTTTGGGGGGAGGGCAGATAGGCTCTGGAACTTTCATTGTCAGTGCAATGTGTTGCCTTTGATTAAGAGATTTCCTGATTAATCCTCAGAATGACTTCCACACTAACACCGAAGCAGAAGAACCTAATTTCCATTGTGATTTTGTTTAGAAGGTAGAAAAAGAGATCCTCTTACCACAGAAGATGCCCCAAACTACAGGAAACCAAGTATTCTTTTCTCTTGACTTATTTTCACAGACCTGAAAGAATTATGTAAAGAGAAACTTCTTTGTCCCCTGGGTCTGGGTGGCATTAATGTTGGAAACCCATTTAAAATGGCCCATAAGAGCATAAATGAGAGCTAAGTCCAGCGCCTCTGGTGCCACCTTCTCCAACGCTGGCGATCCATCACAGGTTTTTAAGGTCATTCCTGGAGTGGAATACATCTTAGCATCTTTGTGAATTATTTGACACATGAACTTGGGGTAACTGCTGGCCCCTGGTCATGTTCACAGGCCATCTCTTCAGCAGGACTGCCCTGGCCTGATGGCTCTTGACCGGGTCCCTGGGTAATTTCAGAGAGAGGAACATTATGCTAAAACCACCTGCCATCTGTTGGTACAAATTTTTTGGATTCTAGATGATGAGTCACTTATTTCTCCTGCTGTTCTTTCTGCTGCCAAGACTAATTTACCTACTGGACTTAATCAGGGAATATGCTTATTAATAATAATGAGCGTTGTCTTATGCAAAGTTCATGATCCTAAGAGCAGTCTTCCAGCACCATGACTGGAAAAGGTGGGGAATTTTCCTTTGTAGGAGGCAGGAGAAGATATGGAATCAAGCCCAGCATAGTGGCATGTGCCTGTAATCCAGTTACTTGGGAGGCTGAGGCAGGAGGATCACAAGTCTGAGGCCAGCTTCAGCAACTCAGACCCTGTCTCAAAATAAAAATTAAAAAGGACTGTGGATGTAGTTCAGTGATGAAGTGTCCTTTGATTCAATCCCTAATAATAATAATAATAATAATAATGACACGGGATGATATAGTGTGATCCTTCATCTGGTGTCCTTCATGGGTACAGCCACAGCCACCGACATCAGTAGGCTTGAGAGTTCAGTGATGGCTTCATATTCCTTTGCATACATTCTCTTGCTAGGGCACCCATGCCTGTCAAGAGTGGCACAGTGTATGCCCCCAGACCCTTATTTAACTTATGACCAGTTCTGTGACCACAAAATGGGTGAGCAAGGCTAGCCTCTCCAGGGCTACCAAGAGAGTGCCCTGGGCCCAGTTGAACCCATTAGGCCAAGGTGCTAAAATTGGTAAGGCCACATGCAGAGCCATCAAGAACTCTGAATTCTGAAATTATCTATTCTCGCCAACACAAAAGAGCCGTTGTGATGATTTTTAGGAGAAATTCCAGACAGTCTTCCTGTACAGACCAGCTAAGAGCCGTGGCAGGAGCCGGAACTTAGTGGCACCTAAAGTGTGGGAGGAAGACTTGGTTGTGAGGGTAGAACATGGGATTTCCCAGGGAGAAAACCCCAGATGAGGTCTACGCACCCCTCTATCCACAGTGTATGGTGGCCGATGGGCTAAAAGACAAGATGTGTTTCTCCACAGACCATTTCACACAAATCAGCTTTTATTGTTAGCATTATCATCTTTTGTCCAAAATGTTTATTATGATGGTTCAAATCTAGCTTTATTCACATATCCTCAACTATCAAAAATATTTCTCTGCTTCTTGGCTCCCATTTTATTCACTATCCCCGAGTTCCAGCCTGCAGAGCGGAGCCCACCCCTAAGGGCAGAGGGTTCTGGTCCTTCAGGCAGGCCACATGTCACTCGAGCTGGCTAAGGCTTTCCTGTCTAGAGAAATTACCAAGTCGCAGTGGGTGGGATTTTATTCTTACCATAGAGTAGGTGGGATTTTACGGGAGCCTCTTCCCCCAGGTTGTAGATCAGAGGCAGAGTTATGTGCTTGTGCTTCACCTGGGGGGAGGTGAAGTTCCTGTGCCACAGGTTCCAGGCTCGAGCCCCCAGCCCTTCTGTCATGGTCAAAAATTGGAAGAGGTGGCTAGTTTTGTGGCTCTACCCAAAGCAAGGCCAGCCCACTTGGTCTTTCCAATTAAAGGAGCTACCAACTAAATCAGGATGGTGTTAAGAAATTTTGCAAACTTTCAGAACCAACCTGGCCTTGAGAGACCTGGGTACAGCTGGGACAGGCATGGGGTACAGCTGGGACAGGCCAGCCTTCTTCACAGAATGCACCAGAAGTCACATTTCCAACCACCAGCTATATCTGTGCACAAGCTGTCCTTGGAGGTGAGGCAGCAACATTTGTATGCCGTTAGAACCCCTGACTCTTGCCTTCCCTGTGCACCTAGGAGGTGGGGGGAAAGTACCAGTACCCACAGCTTTGTGAGGGCCAAGCTCTGAGGGTGCCGGTGCCCAGGTCTGAGTGTTCCTTACTCTGAATGGTGATTCAGAGTAAAGGGATCCAGATGAGCTGTGCAGGTCTGGCTGGACCCACAATACAAGAAAACTTTGGCAACTTGTCCACATCTCAACTTCAGCCTTGGAAAATCAGGACGCCACAGTCTTCAGGGCATCTGGGGCTAAGGCACTTGGTGCCAGCCAGCCTGCCTCATGGCCGTGGTCTTGGCACGGGCACAGCAAAGCAACCCCAGGCAGGTGCGCTCCTCCTCCTGCACAGGGTGTGCTGTCATTGCCTCAAAGGACCTTCCATGCTTGAAGTGGGTGTGACACCAAAACTGGGGAATGAAACTATTTATAAGGGGCCCTTAGTACAAACTTGAACAGACTTGTAGGTTTGTCTATTTCAAAAACAGAAGATTCCATCCGTGACAAAAGCAAAGGAAATCAGATTGCATTGGCTTTTCTCAGTTTTGGAGGAAGTGTGCATGGAGAAGCTACAGGAGTGGAAACCCAAGTTGGTTCCCATTGAATAGCAGCACTGCCTAATCCAGGGCTGTGGGAGCACCTACCTCTGGCTCTGGGACGGCTAGAAATGGTGCTATTTGGGGGGATTTGCAATAGCAGAAGACCTTGTCTTCCCTTTGATGCCTCATCACACAAATAGAAATCCCTAAGCAACTGACCACCCCCAAGCCCAGCAGAGGGGCTGCTTCCAGAGACAAGGTCAGCAGCCTGTTTCTTAAAGATTCACTTGCAAGAAATACAAATGCTAGTTAGATATTTCCTAGACCCTGTTTATTTACCAGATTAGAATCCTCTCTAGTGTTTAATCCTGCATCAAATACAGAAAGGCAAACCATCGGCTTCAAGAGAGTCAGGGTTTGTGTTCAGAGAGGAAATGCTCTAGAAAGAATCTCTGTTTTAGGAGGACCCGGCACACTGGCTGTAGCTGTTTAAGGAACAGCCTTGGACATTTCCAGCTGCTCCAGAGGTGGAGAGCACGGAGGGTGGTCCAAGGAGTCTTTGCTGTGCGCTCAGCACATCAGCAGATGATATGCTGTGGAGATGGGACCCAGGGACCACAGCTGCACCGGGCTCACATGGCACTTGGAGCCAGGCTGCCTGGGAGGCCCGGGCACCCAAGCACGCTCCTTGCTCAGAGACCCAGGACCCCAGCTAAGTGGTGCGGATCAGGGCCACCCCTCCCTCTCCTCCTGGGAGATGCCCAGCACGGACTTGTGGGGGATCCCGCACTCCTGCAGCGATCTGGTGAGGTCAGAAAACCGTCTCCGGGGCACCTCCATGGTCTCAATGCTGCAGCCTCGGTAGGTCGCTTTGTTCCTCTGCTCAGCCACGGCCACCACCGTCTGTAAGTCATCAGTTGGCCGGAAATGGCGGATGAACCTTTGGCCTGAGGGCGATCGGACAGCGAGCAGCAGCCTGGGTTCTTGGTCTGAGGGTTCCTCCAGGTTTCGATCCTGGGAGGGGACCTGCTTCTTGGTTCCAGTGGCAAACTTCCTCTCCAGGGCACCAGCGCAAGCTCTGGAATCTTCTTTGCTTGGCTTCACAGTGCAGGCCTCCTCTTGGTAAAGGGCCCGGATGCTGCTCAGTTGCAGTGAGCTGGCCTTTTTGGCTACTGTGTCCACAGCCCCCTCCTGGAGGCGCCTCCTGCTGATGGAAGGCAGGACGGGGTACTTATTGAGGGAAGAGGAAGCCGCGAGGGGCCCCTGCTGCAGCAGTTCAGGGATCTCCTCGAAGGCCCTCTGGGCTGGAGAAATGGGCGCACAGGCTCCTGGCTTCTGGCTGCCAGGAGACTCGCAGGGAATGGCTGGTGGCCGGGGGGAAGCAGTGCGCTGGGGGCTGTCCTCCTTCCCCTGGGGTTTGTGCAGAGTGGGCCGCGTCCGGCCCTTGGCAGACTTGGGCCTGATGACATGCATTTTGAGGGAGTTTGACTGCCAAAGAAAGCTGCCAGTTGCAATGCCGACGACAGCGCTGGGCTCCGGTGGTGCTGTGTTCACAGGGACTTCTGTGGCCATTGCTTCTCAGGACCCCTGAGGAAGCAGGAAAAAACAGAGGAGGCAGTGGGTTAACCATCCCTGAACACCTGGATCCGTGCCATCGCTCCCCAAGTGCCCAGAGTAAGCACCAGCAGGCCACAGTCCCGGAGCCTTCTCTCTGGATTTCTGGCATCTGGAGAGGGCGCCAGCCGTGATTCATGTATTCATTCATTTTAGGCCATTGGGATAGATCAGCAAACAAAGTCCTCACCACTTAGAATTATTATAGTGAGGAAGGACAGGGGCTAAGCGCACACGTAAAAAGATATTTTCAAAGAGAAACAACCGCTACGAAGAAAATACAGGATTGGCGGAGTGGAGGACTAATTCTGATTCTTAGGAGGAGGAGCTGTGAGCTGGGAGAGCACAATGATGACGAGGAAGATGCCCTGTTGACAATCCAGAGCAGGGTCACTTAACTTTTCCCATAAATATTTTCTGCTTTGGGAGCCACAGGGTCTGTTACTGCTACTCAACTCTGCCACTGCGGCACAAACCGCCCCGCCATCCGTCACCCAGCAACTGTGGCCCTTCCAATAGAACTAACTTTAGTTACAAAAATGGGGGGGGGCAGATTGGGCCCCTGGGGAGGGAAGGGCACTGGTGAGGTCGTGTAGCAGGGGGAGCTTGGTAGATTCCAGGGAATTTGTGGGTTCCCAGGCCCAGGAGCCCTCCCCGGGGTGGCCTGTGCCATCCATGGACAGATGCAACGTCAGAAGGGTGGACGGCAGCTACTTTGGCTCCAAGAGGAAAGTGACCCTATTAAGGTGCTAAGCAGGGAAACCAGGCTCAGCTCCACTCAAGAGCTAATAGCTTCTCCCTGCGCCGCCAACCCGCCATCGTAGAGTGTCCTTCCCCACGGGACCCGCGGTCTGCCGGGCACATTGTCCACTGTGGAGGCACCAACTTTTGGCATGCCAGCTGCCCTCTCGCCTCGGCCCTTCCTCCTTCCTCCTTCCCAGTCTACTCCTAGCTTGCCCTTGCTTTTCCTTCCTCTGTTATTTCCTCCAGCCTTGCTGGGTGGCTCTGCATGAACCACTTAAAATCCTTCCTTAACTTTGTCACCAGGGCTTGGGGGAGAGGAACAGGAAGGCCCCACTGCCCCTCCGGCCATCTCACTGGAGAGGCGCTCAAATTCTAGACGAGGGGTGCACAAAGCTCTTCTGTAAAGAGCCAGAAGGGGGCTATTTGGGGCTCTGCAGTGGTCCGGTCTGTTACAGTCACTCAACTCCACATCTTTGCAGCAGCTCCAGAGATGGCAGGGAGACGAACACAGGTGGCCATGTCCAATAAAACTGCATCTAGGGACTCTGAAATGTGAATTTCATATAATTTTCATGTGGTCACAAAATATTCCTCTTTTGATTTTTTTCCCAATGATTTAAACAGGCTCTTCTCATCTCACAAGCCACACAGTAGCAGGTGGCTGACCAGTTTGGGCCTGGTAATTGGTCAGACCCTATCTTAAACCAACTCTAAGGGGAATCTGGGCACATGCTAATCCTACGGCTGCATGAGCCGGGAGGTAGTGCTGCCCGATGGTCACACGGTGAGCTGGTGGCAGAATCTGAAACAGAGCCCAGGTCTTGTGACATTCAGTCCTGGGTCCTTTGTACCCAAATGAGCTGCTACTTGAAGGAGCAGCCTTGGCTGTCTCCCAGCACATCGCATTCTGTCTCTGCCACTTGCATTTCTTGCTTCCCAACCACCTCGTAACCCCAAGGGCCTCTGTACTGGGTCTCCCAGAGGCTGTTCAGGAGAGTCAGGGAAATACCACAGAGGCTACACTCTGAGGCGGCAGGAGGAGCATTTCTCCGTGTAGACCCAGAATCACTAAGTCATGTCACTGCTTCTGTCATTGCCATCTTGGTGGCCCCTTCACTAACACCATTACCGCCATCTCCTCCCAATCCCCAATTGCAGGTTTCCCAGAATGCTGTGGGCTCCCTGCTTCCCTCTGCATTCTGACCATCATGGCGACTCCTGCTTTCTCTACTCAGACTGACCAGGTCTCTCCAGCCTTCTGAAGACCTTCTGGTGACTTCCTAGTGCCTCATGGTCCCCAAGAAACAGTATTTCGGGCAAAAGAGCAGAGGACCAGAGTCACAAGACCTCCAGATAGCTACATGACTGTTTATTCTGGCATATAACTTTCCTCATTTACCAAATTAGATATATGACTTTGAAGATGCTACTTAAATACCTCTGAACCTCAGTGTTATTCTCTGTAACATGAAAACAGGAACAGCAAGTAAAGTATAAGTGGGAAGAACCAGGCCTGGTACATAGTAGGGGCTTAGTTAAATGTTCAGGGCGCTTGCTTTGGGTGTTGGCTGTCTGCCTATCTAGCGCTTTTGGCTATTCTAGGTCCAAAGCCTCATCTGTTGCTCTAGAGCTTTTCCCCAGGGGGTCCTTGGCATTCCTCCTCCCAGTCAGTGCTAACCAGAGGGAGGTCCTGGGGCTTACACTGCACGGGGATGCTAGGGTGGCTTCAGTGAGCTACCAGCTATGCAGTTGCCTCAAAAATGCAAAGAAAAAAAAAATCCTGAGTTGACCACTTTCCTTTTAATTTCACACTCCACTGACCTCAAATTCACCCCCTCTAGGCTAGCTTCCCCACCCAGTCCTCAACAATGTTCCCCAAGCCTCTCGGCCTGTGTCCTAACCTTGCCACTCTGTGCACGTTACCAGTGTCACCTGGTTATAGGGAGTATTCTCTCCCTTGCCAACAAAACCTTCACCCAAACACACTAACCCTATAAATTCCTGATGTCTTTCTCTGCTGAAAATCATGGGATAAGTGACTCTTGGCTTCTTGTTTTAAAGGCCTATGTTTGCTCCATTCCACTCACAGCCCGGGTCTTCCTCTCCTTCCCATTTGCACTCATCCTTCACACCCAGTCTGGCCACTGGTCATTCAGAAACTTCTCTTTAGCAAAGTCTGGGGATCAGAAATGCCTGGCCGGGCGCGGTGGCCCACTCCTGTAATCCCAGCGGCTCGGGAGGCTGAGAGAAAGACCACGAGTTCAAAGCCAGCCTCAGCAATGTCAAGGTGCAAAGCAACTCAGTGAGACCCTGTCTCTAAATAAAATACCAAATAGGGCTGGGGATGGGGTTCAGTGGTCGAGCGCCCCTAAGTCCAATCCCTGGTACCCCCTCCCCCCCAAAAAGCCTGTCTCATTGTTAGTTTGATCTATTTTCTGATCAGCTTCTAAGACACGTTCTCCCCAAATTCAGTTCTAGAGTCTTTCGCTTGTAATGAGGCAGCTCTGCGTGTAACTGGGAACAGCGTGACAAGACCATAACTGTCCAACTCCTGGGCCAAGGATAAGCTTGCTCCCCTCTCTCCCCACCCTCCCTGCCGGGGAAGGGCTATTAATTTGCCACAGCTTCTACAGAATTATCACAGGCTTGGCTTCCAACACCCACACATGCCTCAGGAAGGTTTAACTGTCAGTAAGTTTGGTAACTTAGAAACCTCTTCCTTAACAACTTTGACGAGTGAAGTCATGTGTTCTCACAGTCTCTGCTGGACTATTTTTAACAGTAAAACTTGACTATGTGCATGCACTTGTTATACCTTTTGGTACTATATAATTAGCCATGTTCAGGGGGTGTCATATTCGAGACACCCTGGTCATAAGATAACATGACTGCAAGCTATCTCAGAGAAAAGCCTCCATTATGACTAATTCCCCAAAGCCCACTCATGGTTATTTAGAGACTAACACCTCCTTCAGGTAAAACCGTTATATCCAACCTGCTTCCATAACCCACTGCCTCCTCCCAAGTGCAGGGACCATCTGTCACATGGAGGGAACACCAGCTCCCCCTGGGGCACCCAGCACAAGGGCAGGGGAGGTAGAGGGAACAGGTGTTTGGGGATCTGGCCAAGTGTTCCTTTATATTCACACCTTGGGTCCCAAACTCTGCCCCAGTCCAAGCAGGCTTCCACAGCACCATCATTATCATGCTCAGCAAATTTCACTACTTCTAGGCCTGGCAGACGCTCAACCACAAAGAGATTTGACAAGATCTAGGCGTAGGACTCCGTCAAGCTGCCAGCTGAGTAGGCAAGTGGCCTGTTTACTTAAACACAATAGCGGCACTGCAGAGGCCTACTAGGAGGAAACAAACCCTGAGGACGGTTTCCAGGAAGTTGCCAGGGGGCAGGTGCCCATTAAGATTCACCACCAAATCAAATGGAAAGGAAGAAAATTTGATGGGAGAAAGGAAAGCCATGATTTCTGCCTTCTAAGGCTACCCACCATGTTTCACGGGGTCAGTGCACCCCATTTTTCAACCCAAATCTAAACCTCCAGTAAAAGCAATAAAATATACCCACCTACATACCATCTGCTGGTGTATACCAAGATGCCTACATTGGAATTGGTCTTTTAAAACTGTTTATCAGCTAATCCCAACTCCTGTCACCCACCCCCCATCAACATCTAGAAGGACTAACAGGAGATGGTAGTCAGCCCCAGAGAAAACTTTGGTACCATTCCCAATTTTACCCTAAGACCAGAACGCACTGTCCTGTGCCCAGTGCCACACTGAATCACAAGCCAAGTGATCAGAAGATTGGAAAGGAAATCGGGGGTGATTCCAGCAGCAAAGGGGTGGGGATCACTCATTGATTTCCAAGTTTTGGCAGCCCTGGAAGCAAAGAAACTTAAAGCTCAGAAGAAGGGACCTGGGGGAAGGGCAAGACAGCGGGGCTAGACAGTGAGAGATGACTTGGGTGAAAGAGCACAGGTCTGGGGGAGGTTCCCTCTGGTTCCAGCCCCTCCGTGGAACTGGGACGTCCTTTGCTCTGAGTCAGTGTCCAGAGGCTGGCTGTGCCCGGCCCCGGGGCTGGTCCTACTTCCACCGCCTTAAGCTCTGGCCGGGGCGTGCTCTGTCCCCCGGAAGGAGCGACTTCCCTCCTGGGGGCTCCAGTCCTCCGGGCGGGCGACGCACCGGGGCTCGGGGACCCGCCTGCCCCGGTCCCTTCCAGGCGCGGCGGGCCGCGGGCGAACAGCCTGCCCTGCTCACCTCGCCACTCCGCTCCATCCACCTCCTGCGCCTGGCGCGGCCCGCTGGTAAACAGCCCCGTCTCCCCGGCAACCGCGCGGGATAGGGGGCCACGTGCTTCCGGTCCGACCGGAACCGGCCCCGGGCCGGGAGGGGCGGGTCAGAGCCCCAGGTCGCCGGACCCTCAGCCCTGCAGCTGGAGGCGACCGGACCCCAGCCCGCGCCTCCTGCCCTCCCCACCTCGCTGCCCGTTGCTCCTCAACCCCCTGATGTGACCTTGGATCAGACCCTGACCCTCCCAGCGACCCTGACTCCCTGGTTTAAAAGGAGGCTTAGGGACTGATTGATTCCGGCCAACCCTAGAATCCCAGTGGCTGCTTTTTGGGGAGCAGGACCACTGATCCGCTTCTCCTCCTGGGTACCGCCCTTTGGGCACCGGTTCCAACCGCCCACTCTGGGCGCACATCCTGAACCTCTGAGCCAGGGCCACCACACCTCCTCTGAGGGCCTGGCCAGGACCTCCTTCACTTCAAACACGGGCAGTCACTTCTAGGGCGTCTCCGGCTCTTGCTCTGCATTTCCCAGACCCTGGAGTCTGGCTCATCGCCTCAGCCATTGTCTTGGCAAGAACCTTCCACACCTTGTCCTGCTCTCTTTCTATCCCTAAGGTGCAGTGGAACCCCAGCCCCATCCCTCTACCCACATCTGGATCCTAAAGAAACCTTGGCAGGTCACACACATTGATGTGATGGGAAGTGTGGTCTCCAACCTCAACTGGAACGTGGGTGCTGCTCAGCAGGTCTGCCATTTTCTCCTCCCTTCTCTCTCCTTCCCCTCAGTGGCTATTTCAAACCTGTCTTCCCTCCTGAAACCTCCTACCTCTCCCCCTTCCTCCTGCATCTTGGAAGATAATCTTACTGCCCTCTGCAGAGAAAAAATAGAAGGCATCATATGGAAACTTTTATAGCCGTCTGCCGTCAGACCTACAAGTTGCCTGCCTTTGCTTTCTCCATCCTGCCAGTTGGAATGGAAAGGGGCTGTCCTTGGATTCTGTCTGAGGTTAACTGCGCCTCCACGGGGCCTGTCACACCACGTGGTCACACATACACACTCTCACTGTACTCCAGGACTTTTCTCCTGCTAGCCCCTTAACCTGGAAGATTCTTCCCCTTCCTTTGCCTAATTCCCATTCCCATTCATTCTTCATGTCCTGACCTAACAGATGAAGCTTTTCTTCCAAAATTGACTTTAAAAGAAGCCCCAACTGGACCACTGTCTGCCAGGTTCTATTCTAGACTTTTGGAATATGCAGATGAGTAATTTAGTGGATGTATTATTAGAAGGCAAAGGTGCTAGATATGCAAGAACCATAGATTTGTTATCTAGCTCTGGGGCTAAATATCTACTATTGCTCCTCAACCCCCTGATGTGACCTTGGATCAGACCCTGCCTGTCCTGGCTGTGCAGGTGTGCGATTTTGCTATGAACAGAACTAAATCTTCAGAACATTCAGTTTTGTTGAGAAGACATATTGTATGCTGATAGAGTTACAAATCAGATTGTTTTCAATACAATTTGAGCCAGGGGTAGAGGAGCAGGCACGGGCTGGATGTGATTATGTGTGGATGGGCATAGGCAGCAAGATTTTTGAGGCAGTGGTGGGTGGGGAGGGGATCATGGTCGTGTTTCTGCCCATCTCAGAGAGAAAGCTCTTGATTTATGGAGCTGCTGGTGCAGGCCTGGGCTGGGCAAGCCTGTTGGGATGCCAGCTGTCACTTGCCCAGCAGGAGTCTTGTGGCCCCAGAAAGGTAAAGGAGTTGGCAGTTTTAGGAGCCCATAGTTTTGCAGGTTGGTGCTTATGGCTTATTTCTTGTTAATGATTCTGTCAGAAATATCTAAGCGATGCCTTCAGCCCTTCAGCACCCACTCAGAAAAGATTAAAGTAGATTCTCCATCAGCTATTTTAACATCACCTAGGAATTATGTAATCCTTTGGAGAAGCAAATGGGCTTCTCACCCCCCATGGGTGTGCGCCCTTGGCAGTGCACAGTAAAGTGGTCATTGTGCCCGTGGTCTGTTCACGCTCAGCGGTACAAGCCTTTTGCTCTCCAGGGTCGTGTCATGTGCAGCCCCAGGGGGAGGCTGGAGGGAAGGAGAGGAAGCCGGGCTGTCCATGGCTGTGACTCTGCCTTTAAAGAAGATATCTTCAGGGCTGGTGGTGTAGCTCAGCAGTAGAGCACTTGCCTAGCATGTGTGAGGCCCTTGGTTCGGTCCCCAGCCCTGCAAGAGTGACTTCAAAGGATGCACCTCTAATGTCTAGTCTCCGGCACACACACTGAGTTCTTGGTAAACATGGTCGGGGGTATTGCCCTGCCAGCTTACGTGTGGACCCCCTTCCTTTCCATCTCTGTCTCACTCCACTCCCCCAGTTCTCTCCTGCACTCCAGCCAGGTGTTCCCCAAATGGACCTTCAGCTTTCTCCAACGTCTTTGCTCCTGCCTGTCTCACCTTGCTCCCTTCCTTGAAGTGAACCCAAACTGCCTGATCCTTCAAGGCCCTTCTTCCATGAAGGCCTTTCCTGACTACTCCTGAGCCAATGTCATGTGCTCCTGCTGGTCCCCTCTGGTCCAGTGGAACATGCCCAAGATGGCAGCATTCAGATCCTTCAGGAGACACCATTGACCTCCTTTGCTTTAGAAAACACTGTGCTCAGGACCCCCAGCTCATTAGGGCAGAGCTGTGTTGGAACTCATATCCACCTGGTTCCAGTGCCCACTCTGTATCCCAGAACCCCACTCTGCCCTTTCCCCACATTTCCAAAAGCACTGTATGTGGAGCTGCTGTTGAGCTGGTGGTAGGTGTTGCAGGCAAGGTCCCTGGAGTCAAAGCTTGCATTTCAGTCCTGGCTCCACCACTTGTCAGCCAAGGACTTTCCCTTCTCTGGACCTCAGTTTCCACATCTGTAGAATAGGATTGCTGGGAGGGTAAAGTGAAATAACGCCTGGACAGGTCCTAGCACAGTGCCTGGCACTCGGAAGTGCTTAATGAGGGTTATGTTGCTTTCTGACCATGAGGCTCTCCTTCAGGGTTATGAGCTCCTCCCCTTTGCCTAGGTGCTGCCTGCTGTGTGGTGGGTGCTCAGCTAATGAGAATTGAATTAGTAATGGTGGTGATGTTCATTCCATGCTGGCTTTTCCCCTGAGAATCCTAGGAGCTGCCAGCTGATGCCCCCAAAGCTAACCGGCTTGAGGTCCCTCAGGCCCAGCTGAAGGCAGAAGGTCCAATTTTTTAGAGACTTGTTCTGAAAGAGCGTTTGGCCCCATTTCCAACTAGCGATTTCTAGACTTCAGTGTCTATACCCAGGGTCTTTTACAGTGGGAGGGTACTGGGGTCTGAATCCAGAGGAGCTTAATCACTGAGCCACATCCATGGCCTTTTTTATTTTATTATCATTTTTAAAATTTTTGAGACAGGGTCTCACTAAATTGCTTAGGGCCTTACTAAGTTGCTGAGGCTGGTTTTGAACTTGCGATCCTCCTGCCTCAGCCTCCCAAGCTTTTGGGATTGTAGGCATGAGCCACCACACTCTACCTGTACCCGGTGTCTTGCTCTGGGGCTTCTTGATCCCATTAGACATTTGCATTGAGGTCCCAGATAACCTTCAGGAGGAATGTGAACTGGGTGGATAATCTAGTTAACGAGGCTGAGCGGCTGGTACCTTAGTCATGTCTCCTGGTGAATCAGCTTCCTGAGGGCATCTGCCGGAGGGAAGTTTCTAGATAATGAAGCTTACCCCTTGAAGTATTTAGGGCTTTATTGTTTTCCCCATATTGTTGGAAAATATCCAAAAATGAGTTGCCTACTTTCGGGTCTCGTTGAGCAGACTCCGACAAGCACTGTCGTTACCTTGGCAACTGTCGGCCAAGTGCATTTACCTTTGGGAGTTGGTTGAATCTGTTGGTGCTCCTTGGGGGCTGGGCAGGACCACTGTCTCCATCTCAGAGGAGGAAGCCGAGCTTAAATCCTCTGACAGGAAATAGGGCCAGCTCCAGGCCTCTCTCCTGTGGTAGGATCTGTGTTGCTTGCTGTCTGTCTAGGAGCTCTGCACAGAGCACCTTGTCCTGGCTGCTCCGGTGCAATACAGCTAATGCCACCAGCCATCTGCCCCCACACTCAGTGGCCCCAGGCTCACAGGCCTCCATGGTTACTGGTTTATCTTTCCTCCCTGGCCTTCCTACCAAGAAAGCCACTCTGGATTTCATTCCTGTGCAACAGCTGGCTCTGAAAAAGGGGGTGTTTAGGGGCTTGTTAGAATTGTGAGTAAAAGAAGAGCACTGTGGTATCTGCGGAGCTGTTTGGGTGGCTGGGTCTTGTCTTCCCAGCTGTGTTTTGGGTAGGTGCAGCCATTGGGCCAATGGTTCATGTAACTACCAGGTGAGGAGGAGTGCCCACTTTGGGGGTCAGGTGCACCTGGGGGTAAGTCTGGCACCTGTCAATTCGAAGGGCAAATGACCTAACCTCTGCCAGGTTCAGTTACCCTCAGTGATAAACTGGGATCGATAACATAAGCCTCATTGGGAATATCCCAAGAGGACTCACGGAGACAACCTGCAGGCCCCAAGTTGGTACTAGGTTGGTTGTAGGTATTGCTTTTGTCTATGTGACTCAAAATATGACAAGACGGTGACCATTCACTCATCCATTCATTCCTCAGGTGTGTATGTGCCCCTCATCTCTCCTTGCCTAGTTTACTTTTGTGTACGATGAAGAAGATATCATAATAGCAATAATAGCAAACGTGGCGTGGTGGGTAACCTAGCAGGGTGTTAAAGAGTGCAATATATAAGTTGTCCTCTTCATCGTCGTCGGTACTCATTGTGTCAGGCATGGTGCTAGGTGGGTGCTAGGGATTAGGAAGTGGATAAAATGGCTGTGACCTTGGTTCTCGTGGGGCTTTGCAGTTTATGTCCATCTTACTTTCTCCTTCGCAGGGTCCACCAGGGTTTCAGTGCTGTGTGTTGAAAGATGGATCAATGAGTTGCGCACATAACCTGGAGGGGCTCCCAGGGCCCCCCACTTGCTGCAGGAGTCGGTTGAATGTGGCTGCCCCTCCCTCTCTGGCTCTCTGGCCCCGAGCTCTTGGTTTTGTCTCAGTCCCAAACCAAAAGTCAAAAGGAGGGAACCGCATCTGTCTCGCCCAAGTCGTAGCTGTGATCTCCGAAAATGCTGAGACCTTCAGAATGCCACGGGGACGAGGGGGTCTAGGTGGGGACCTAGTGAGCAGGAAGAAGCCCTGGGTTTGGAGTTAGGGACAGAAGTTAAATCCTGGCCCTGCCACTTGGTAGCTGTGTGGATTATTTTCAGATCATTTCTCTCCTCTGAGCCCCGGTTTCCTCGTCTGTCAAATGCAACAGTGATGGCGCCTACCTTGAAGGGTTGTAGGGAGAAGGAAATGGGAGCAGAATACAGGCTGAAGTTCATTCAAGGCCTCCTCAGTGCCCCCTCCTGAGGGAAGCTCTCTGTGACCCTCCCCAGAGGGTTCGCGCTCCTGCCTCGGAGCACAAAAGACATTTATTTCTACAAGCTCTAGAGCAGTGCTCCCAGCTCCGCGTGAGCTTCCACTGGGCTCCCTGGATACAGACTCAGACAGAGAAGCGCATTGTTGGGAGCCTCCCAGGAGGCCCAGCTATCGGGAACTGAACCAGGCAAGACTGGGCAGAAGACAAAGTTGCCTCAGGGGGGGGGTGGGGGGAGAAAAGGCTAATACAGTGGGAGAAATTGACCCAGAAGGAGAATCCAACTTACAAAGGGAGAAGCTGACATGCATGGGGAAAGATGTCATAGGGGGGAGAATCTGACGCTGTGGGGGACACTGGCATATAGCAGGAGAAGCTGATGCATAGAGGGAGAAGCTGATGCAGGCAGTTGCTGAGGTCTTGGCCAGTCCTCCAGGGAGTTCTGGGGCTGGCAAGGCCTCTCGGAGTTGTCCTGAAAGAGGCAGGGGCCAAGCCTTAAAAACATCACCCCAGCCAGGCATGAACTAGAGACCACCCTTTCCCTTCTCCCCTAAGGGGTCATAACCTCGAGACACAGGGAAACTTGTAGCAGGGGGCAGTTCCCAGAGAGTGAGGGTGGGGAGCAGCTGGCATGTCCTCCCTGAAGATCCAGCTAAACATGGAAGAACCAATGGAGAAGTGAACCCAGACCTTCTGCCCACACGGCGCTTAGGGCTATATTTGGCCTATACGTATTTGGTATCTGCGGCCAGCTTGGCAGCCTTGCTTGGGCCAGAATCTTCTCATTAGCCAAGCACGCAGTTGGTGCTTAATAAGAGTCTGTCAGATTTCATTACCAGTAGCCAACTTTGACCCCTCTCTTTGTCTCTTTAAAATACCATCGCCTGCCCATTCAAAAGATGTCTCTCCTTTGTGCACCAAAGCTGCGCACAATTATTTTTTTCAAACTCAGAAGAGAAAAGGGAAGCAAAAGCCTGTGGAGATAGAACCTAATTTCAAAAACCTCCTGCATAGCAAGGAAAGGAAGGGTGGCCAGCACACGACCTGGTCAGGGCCTAGCCTCACAGCATCCACCAGAATTTTGCCAAAGAGGGCAAAATAGTAAACGCACTTGGTCACCTCTCCCCGGGCTCTGAGGCAGGCTGGGTGTTTTGAAGTTTCCCTGGGAAACTTTGCCACGGGGTGAAAATCGAGCCGCAGCTCGGGCACCTGCCAAAGTCTCTAGGCTCAGCTGAGCTATTGTTCATGCTCCAAGTCCTGACGTTATCAGGCGTAACCTGATTTATGATGGGGCCCATGTGGCTCACTGGGACACAAGACCCCATTCTCCTCCATTGTCCCATGGGCAGTGTGCCTAATCTGGGTGTCATTACCACTGATGGTAATGAAAACACGAGGTTTACCTGTTACTGTGGTTTATAACAGGTAACAGTCTTATTTTCATTGTTTCAGCTGGTTCCCACGACAGCTGTAGGATTATAAGGAATTGGTTCAGCTTCTCTGGGCCTCCGTTACCCCCTCTCTATGGTGATCATAGGAACTCCTAAGATGCGAGGATTGAGTCATACAATACCCGCCAGGCCCTTAGCATTCTTAATAAAGGCTTGACATTACTCGTAGGGATTATTAGTCTCACTTTACAGGAGGAAGCCAAGTTTCGGAGGGACTGAGTTTACCACCAAGACACCAGGGTTTCAAACGGGGAAAACCCCTGGACAGAGATGCAAGTGGAACCAGGTTTCCCTGAGCTGGAGTGCCATCGTGAACAGTGTATGTGTCATTTGTACTTGAGAACAGAGGGACTCCTGACTCCTCCAAAGGAAAAAGAAAATGTTGAAGAGATGGTGTTGTTCAAAGAAGTTTAAAAAAAATGATACTTGGATTTTTTAATGAAGTCCTTCTTATTTTTTAATATTTGGGTCTAAATACCAGGAAGGATATCATATTCAGAGAGAATTGAAAAAAGCTCTCTGCGCCCTCTGCTGAAGGCTTTCCGAGGCCTGCACAGTGACTGGTTTGCACTCATATGGCCTCGTCTCATTCCAGTCACTTCTTCCCAAACAGGAGTTCCACTGACAGACAAAGAAGGTGGGACCCTGGCTCCCTGGACCCCTGCTGTTCTTGGGGATGAAGGTCATTGCCCTTCTTGTTGTCCTTATCTCCTGCCATAAGTAGTAAGCCAGATAGGTGGTACCAGGATGCTGTCCTCGCTCTTCCATTGGGGTGGCCCCTCCTGAGGTGGCACTGGGTGAGGGAAGACCACAAGTCACCGAAACAGTCAGCCACCAAAGTTTTGCTTCTGTTTCTGTTGCAGAGTGTGCTGACCCCAGTGCTGAGATCTCAGAACTTCTAGGATGTTGCTGGCTTTGTACTCAGAAGAGGCGCCGGCTGTGGTTCGACCACTTCTGACCCCGGGAGGGTCTTCCTTTGGATGTTAGTTGCCTTTATTTAAAGTTTTGTGGCTTCTGCGCAAAATGGCAGGCACATATCTAGCTAGTTTAGGTGTGGTGCATTATTATCAGAAAGACATTCTAACGATGACTTAAGGAATAACTGGTCACTCTTAGTCATTGTGACCAGGGGAGCAGATTGCATTCCTCTGCAAAATGAAGAAAGTCCCCCTAGGAAAATGTTCTGAGTTTTGGAAAATTCGTAGATTTATTCTGGATTAGTGGAGTAGATATTTGTCCAAATTCATTTTTTAAAAAATGTCTATTTCAGCTGTATAACAGTAACTTTCGGGTCCCTAATCTTAAAAATGTCTAAACTACCCCTAGTGGTGGAATTGACAGCTTTCAAGGTCATGGTATAACAGGAAACTGTATGCAGGAGGGGTCCCTTCTGTTGCCCCACAGCATGTCCTGAAGAGCTGCAGCCCGAGAGGGGTCCCACCTCTCTCCAGGAACTGAAAATGACCCCCCTTGGCTCAGGTTGATGTAAAATAAGAAAAGTTCAAAGCTAAGAATGCCAGCCCCTCTGGATATCATCATGCATTTACAATTTCACAGAAAAAACAAAATATGTATGAGTTAGGAAAGACAGTCTCAATCCATTTTTTAAAAAAGCAAATATAGGTGGACCAGAAACTTTTCCTCCTCCGAGAGTAGAAACACTGACTCCTGCCTGCAGCAGGAGGGGGCTTCTGCCACAATAGTGAGGCTTCCAACAGGGCAACGAGGCAGGAAGGCGCCCGGAAAAATGCCCCCAAACTCTGCCTTTGGTTTTCTTCTTCAAGTTCATGTTTTGTCTGTATTTTTATTGCAAAGTTAATACTGAGTACCTGCAGCAGCCCCTCTTCACCTTTACTGGAACCTATTCCTTTCCTACACGAAGGTGTAACCACTCCTAAAACTTGGGTGTTCAATCATCTAGGTCCTTACCCCTCCCCCCCCCACACACACCTGGAAACACTGTAATAGAAAAATAATACCTACTCATTGTAAAAAATAAAAACAAATTGCATAGCTGTATACAAAATAACTGTTTCCAATTGGTTTCTCTATCCACCTCCTAAATCCCATTGCCTAGAGATATTGCTATTAAAGATAATATATCTTCAAAACATCTAATTTTATTACCCACCCTCCATTGGTGGGCACATGGCTGGTTTCCATTGTTCTGATATCACAAACAATACCGCATAAACATCCTTGTATATATTTTTGTGCCCGCTTCTGGAAGCATTTTGTAGAAGTAAAAATCACTGAGTCCACGTGCATTTGCTACTTTAAAATATGGATCGAGGGTGTCTCTCCTGCCTCGAACATATTTGATTTCTCCTTTGAGGTTGTAAATGCCTGATGATATCCGGAGGGACTGGCATTTCTAGCTTTGAACTTTTTCTGTTAATGTTGCATCAGACCTGAGGGGGCTTCTGCCTCCAGTGGTGATTTTCTACATCTGAGGGGAAGGCAAGGAGCATTGTCCTAAATGTCATGGAAACCAGGTGCTCATCGTGGGTTAGCAAGAAACCCTGTGTGGCGGGGTAAACCTGGTCTTATTTCTTCCCCAGGAGAGAGGCCAATGATCCCAGCCAGGCCATCACTTTGCTTTAGGGACCTGGTGACAGCCCCCATTCAAAGCACCCTGGTGGGGGACGCCAAGGCTGCACCATACTCTTTGCCGCTTTTCCTGTTCCTTGTTTCCTCATTGCCAGTAACAGTCCCCACCCTCAGCAGCTTCTGGCAGTTCCAGAGGATGGTCAGCCACATCACGGGAAGGAGAGCCTTCCTCTCCTACTATGGATAGGACTGCTACTGTGGGCTCAGAGAAAAAGGGATCCCTGTGGACGACCCAGACAGGTGTGTGCAGGGCTCCAAGGCCACCTGCCATTCGATTTGCACTGAAGCTGTAGCTTGAAGCCAGAGAGAGGCAGGGGAGAACCTGGAGCCTTTCATGGCAAGTAGAGAAACCAACTCAGGCCAACGTAAGAAAAGACTGGAAGGGTCACAGGGTGGGACTTGAAGAGCCTGTGCCCGGGGCCAGCTTCTTGAACACGTGACCATGAAGTTGGCCAGGCCAGTCCTCCTAAGGGCCCAACGTGTATATGTGCTGCTGCCACCACCTTGCCATTTTTGACAAGAGGTCTGCGTTCCCTTCCACACCAGGCCCTGCATGGCACATAGCTGGTCCTGTCCAGAGCACTAGAAGCTATTTTAAAGGAACTGTGTGCTCTTCCCCCAGCCCTTGGATTTTAGGATTACGGGCGTGGCTAGACTACCCTGCTGCCTCCCGGCCCTATTACATGTTCTAGGAGAGAATCCAAGTGGCCCAGTTTGGAAAAGTTGACCATCTGGGTGCGATCACACGGCCCCGACCTGGATTCCAAGGCCTGCTCCTAAGGATGGGGTGGGCGAGTGCGGCTTCCTAGAAGAGGTGACAGCTGGTGTCATCTGGGGAGGGTGTAGGGAGGAAACTGGGTAGTGTGCGTGTTGCTTCATTTGAAGAAATAAGAAGACAAAGTGTTCCTTGCCACGTTCAACCTAGCTGGACAGGTATGTCCCCACCACAGGGCCTGAAGTATCACACCTGAGCTTGAGTCTCCCGCACTTGGTGGTGGAACAGCGGACGGGCCAGGACAGGTGGTCTGCACGAGGACTAATTTAACCCTCCTAGTGATTGTAGGAGGTGGTGTCACCACCCCCATGTTACAGGTGAGGACAGGGGAGGGTCCCAGACCAAGAGCCGCTAAGCCTTGTGGTCCTAAGTGGCAAAACCAGGACTGGAATAGGGTTTGCCTCTGTCATAGCCTGTCCCCTTTCCTTGATGATGTGTGCCTCCAGGTCCAAGTTCAAAGGCAGATTCAGAACTGTGAGCCAAAGATGAAGGCCAAGAGCCCGCCTGCAGATGGGAAAGGGAAAGGGAATGGAAACGCTGTCCTTGGCATTCTGTCTTAGGATGTGAGCTTACTTACTGGCTGTCCCCGGGGGCTCCACATCCCTGACCCTCCTGGTGGAAGAAGCGGGCAGAGGCCAATCCCCTGCTGTTCCTCCCCGCCCCCCACCCCCCAGCCCCCAGCCAGCTCTGAGCACTGAGAGCAGGACTGTGACTGTTCTTGTTGACAGTACTCTCCTTCAAGACTATCCCAGTTCTTGGCACATAGAAGGTGCTCAGGAAAAATGGCTGGACGAATGGAAGAGTCTCAGGGACCCATTTGAGTTCTGGGTCTATCATTCCCAGCCACATGATTTTTTTTATCGTTTTAATTATTTGTTTTTATCTTACCTCCCCTTAGTATTTTTCCCTAATTTGAAATGTCACTATTACTCTTGAAGACACAGGTATTTTCAGCCCTTTCACGAGGTCTCTATTATGTATCCTTTGTCTTAGGGCTGTGATTAAACTTATTGTATCCACATGATCATGTGTATATTCAAATGATAAGGTTTATTGCTTCCTGCAGGGTAGGATATGTGCTAGGTCTCGGCTACTGAAGGGTAACCATTAGATGATTAGAATGTAAACTCCTGCTACCGCCCTGTTCTTAATTTGTTTTGTATTTCCAGGACAGCAGCTAACTTCACAAAGATTTGTAATCAACAAATTGTTGGGTCTTGCAAATATCATGAATATACTTTTTGTTCTCCCATCATTGCTTCAACATTCTTTTGTTGAACTAAACACTTAACCAACAACTATTAAGTATCAGATCTATTAATATGATATATAGCAATTCTCTTTCTCTCTCCTTAGACACACACACACACACACACACACACACTCACTCACTAGCACGCACGCACACACCCCACAGGCCAGCCACATAATTTTGAGAAATTTGCCTTTCTGAATCGCTTTTCCTCACCTACAAGATGGGGACAATGACTGTACTGCTCAGGGGACCGAATCACCAAGGAAACAGCAGTAGGTACTAGGGGGGCTCAGTGGACGTTACTGGCTGTTTTTATTTATTTTTAATATTACAGTCGGCCAGCGGTAACCACGGGCTCTGCATCCTCAATTCCACCAACCTCACATGGAAACTATTTGAAAAACAACGTGTCTGTTCTGAACACATACAGGCTTTTTTCTTGTTATTCCCTAAACAACACAGTATAATGATTATTTTCATTGCATTAGGTATTATAGAGGACATGTGTAGGTTATAGGCAAATATTATGTCATTTTACATAAGGGACTTGAGCTTGAGGACTTCAGTATCCTCAGGGATGCAGAACCCTTCCTCCTTGGAACCGAGGGACAACTGTTTTAGTAGTATTCGCCACTCTGGCTCCCGGAGGGGAGACAGGTGAGTCCCTTGCTGTTCCACCTGAGGTCCTCCAGCCAATTCCCCAGGAACCCTTGCACAGATGCCATCCATCATCTCCCTCTCATCTGACCCCAGATGCTGTGTGACACATGACTGCTGCTACGAGAGGCTGAAGGAGTCTGGCTGCCAGCCTGTGTTGAACAGCTACCAGTCCCACATCATCAACAAGACGGTGGTCTGTGAGTAGCCTTCTCTGTAGGGAAATGCCTTAGAATCTGGTCTTTCCTTAACCACCACTTCCTTGCTGACCCAGTGGTCTTTTAGGAAATGAGATTTTTTTCCAGATGCTTTGAGATGGAAAGGGGCAAGACCAAGGACCAGAGCTCCTTGGAAAGGGCTTGTTTTATCTCTCATTGGTCTCTCTGCCCAAAGCTGTATTTCCAGAACCTGGCAAATAGTACATGCTCAATAAAAAGTTGTTGACTTGAGATTACATTGTCTTTGCAGCTTCCCTTGGCAACTGTTGCTGTTGCAAACATTCTTCCTTATTTCTGGCATGTGTTAACAAAGCAGCTCAACCGACTTTCAGTTGAGCAAATACTCGTTAAGGGCAACTGCATGCCAGGCATGCAGGTCGGTGCCATGGGGGACACAAAAGTAACTAGGAGGAATATGAGAAGGGAGTTCACAGGATATTGAGGCCACTGAAAGAGGTGGAAAAAGCCAGAGTGGGCAGGTACACTGAGAGTCCACCCACGGGGAACGACCTGGGGTCCCGAGGCGTGGAGCGGCTGGTGGGGTGTAGGTATGGGTAGGGCAAGTGTTGTCTAAAGAGTAAGTGGCTTTGGGCAGTAGCCTTCTGTGAGTCACACTCATTCCAGCCGGTGGTCTGGGTCCCCCATACAGAGTGGGGCTCCCTTCCTAGGGTGGAGGTGCGTGAACACCTTTCCTCCCTGGTGTGATTTTCCATCAGTGAGGGTTTCTGGAGCTCATCTGTCTCCGTGAGGTCAGGGAAAACCATCCCAAGGACACGCACCCCCCCACAATCCAGAGTGCCCAGTGTGCTGACCCGGGATTCTAACTCGGCTCGTACCCAGACCCAGGGTTGGGACTGTGAGGTCTTCTGGGCACCAGCTGTGAGGACGGACGTGGGGTAGACTGGAAGCCCCGACACTGGCTGGAGAAGATCAGCTTCAGCTCCTCCCACCGCCCCCTGCGTGGCCCCTGCCCCCCATGAGCGCTCCCCTGACCGGAAGCACCCCTTTCCCCAGGGGAGCCCAAGCAGGCTTCAAGCTGGAGCTCTCTGCCCAGGGTCATCCTCAGGCCTAAAGCCAAGCACCTCTTCCATGACGCCCCTAAGGCCACACTGGGAGAGGGGAAGGTGGGGGTGGTGCCCCAGGGCGTTGTTTGTTTCAACACAAGAATGACACCTTCTTGAGGCCAGGGGCTGTCTGCCCCATGAGGAGGGGCGGTGACTGTCAGAGAGGGAGGGATGCCTGGCAAGGTCCCCCCGACCGTCCCCAACCTGGTTCCTGGTCGCGTTTTACAGGGCTCCCTCTCTTCATCTTGGTTAAGGTGTCAAGTGTCCCCTTACCGTGGTCAAAAAGGCCCCACTTTTGGAGAAGAATGCTCAAGGGCGCCCTCCTCTGATCGCTCACAAAGTGCAAGGATGGGGAAGAAGGGAACAGGTGGTGTCAAGGGAGGGCAGTGGAATCAGGGGGTGGAGAGAGGCTTCCTCCCCTGGTCAGAGGCCCAGACCAAGCCTCCGCCCTGGCTGCTCACAGGGCAGAGGGCCGGTGGGGACACTCTGTACCTCAGGAGATGGGAGGATGCAGGAAAGTAACTGGGGGTGGGAGGAGGCTGGAGCCCCACCAGGTGGCACATATCCCTTGATTGGCCTGTGCCGGGTGGTGACGAGAGCTGACTGGCCAGCTGGTGGCCTGGGCTGTGCTTTCCTCACGTGCTGCCCTGAGCCTTGCCCCGGGCTCCCGCAGTCTGGAGCCCTCCCTGCCCAGGGGCCTAGCACAGGAGGGGCTGTGTGTCAGCACCGGGCATCAGCAACCCCCAGCAGTGAGCCGAGAGCCAGGCCACCTGGGCTCTTGCTGGATCTGTGGCTGCTGTGTGTTGGGACCCAGGCAACAATTATTCACCTGCCCAGTATGCACTGAGCACCCCTGGGTGCCTGTCCAGTGCCAGCACTGTGCCAGGGCCAGGCACAGAGCAAGGGCAGGCCAGGCTCCTCCTGTCCTGCGAGTCACATTCTTATGGAAACTCCAGGTGGCAAGATAGATGCTCTACATGCAGCACCTTGAACCCCAGAAATGGGCCTCTCAGGTGGGTACTATTCTCTCCACTATCAAAGAGGAGGCTGAGCTCAGAGAGGTTGAGTCACCACCACGGTCAGTCAGGGAAAGAAGAGTTGGGGTTCAGAGCCAGGTGGGCCTGCCTCCCACCACCCTGCCCTGTAGACGGTGACAGGCTCATGCTTGTTGGAAGGACTGTCACACAAATGTAGGCCTCGTGATCTGCAGCAAGCTAGTCAGAAGGTTCAGCCCTGGCCCAGGGAGGGCAACGAGGGCCTCTGTAATGGCTCAGATCTTCCCACTTCTGCTAAAAGGCGAAGGAGCCAGGCAGAGCTGGGTCCCACCCCCACGCGCCCCCTCCCAGCCTCCCCCCTCCCAGCTGGGCCTTCGTCTCCCTGTCTATACAGCGGAGCTCATCACCGGTGTCTCACAAAGTGGCTGGGAGCACTGAGGAGAGTGACCTGCTACAGCAGCTGGCCTGCAGTGGCTACCCAGTTAGTGCCCTTCCTTTGGGACACGGCGATTTCCCGGTCTGTCCAGGTTTCCTCTTCCCCTCTACTTGGTGGAAAGCACTGGGCGGCCAAGGCTGTTCCGGCCACTCTCCTGGGGTAGGCCCCCCTCCCTACCCCTACCCCTCTGTTCAAAGAGCTGCCCTGCAAGGGTTAACCCCTCCCCAGCCTCCCTTGAGTTCTGAAATCCTGCACCCAAGCCTGGTCCCATGTTGCCTAGCAACCAGTGGCTGCCGGGGAGGGATGTGGTAGGTGAGCCCGGAAGGGAAGGCGCAAAACAACTTGGTCTGTCCACCTGAATGCCACCAGGAGATCAATGCAGAGACAGGCCTCTGACAGAGCCCAGGGGCTGGTTTGCTGGGAGGGGACAGCTGCCCTCCAGCAGCCTGGGGGGTGGTTCTCCCTCCTCTGAGTGGGCTTACATAAGTACTTGGCATTTGCAAGGGACTTTAAGATCACCGGCAGTGACACCCCCCTCCACCCACGCATGCATGCATGTGTCGTGTGGGGAGGAGCCCAGCCTTGGAGACAGACGGTTGGTTCTAGCCACCTGTACTGCTGTCACCTCCGTCTCTGGGCCTCCGATGCCCCCTCTACCAGAGTGGGAAGGCGGAAGTGGCAGCTTCTGGGAGTTGAGTTTGCAAAGACCTTTGTCATCTGCGTGAGCCACAGATCTGGAACCAGATCCTGGCTCCTGGGCCCCGGCACAGGCTCCTTTGGCTGGTGCCCAGGCCATGTAAGGGCAGCCTGGAAGGCCATCAGCAAACGCTGCGGGGGCAGACCAGCCATCAGGGCGGAGAGCAAAAGAGAAAGATACCACCCCTGTCGGGAGGGAGCTTCCCTTCTAGGAGCAAGAGACCACGACCTGGTCACCATGGAGACACATTCTGATAGGGACCAGGCTGTGAGCAGCTCAAACAAGGTGCCAAGCTAGGGCAAGGTGCAGGCCAGGGGCAGGGGGCCTACTTTAAGTGGCCAAGGGAGGCCTGCGAGGGAGGTCTGAGGCTCGTTGCCAGTGGCAGGAGTGGGAAGGAAGGGAGAGGAGGTTGGCGCTGCCCCAGGTGGGAGTTTTGTTCTGGAAAGATTCCTGTGGCTGATGTGCAGAAGAGGGGAGGGTGAGGAGCCAGGAGGAGACAGCTTCCGGAGCCCTGTGGAGGGGTGACCGGAGTTTGAACTGGGGTGGTGGCAGATGGCGGCTGTGCTTCGGAGGTGCAGTTGCCAGGACCTGCCCACAGGTTGGAGTTGGTCTGAAGGAGGGGGAGGCTAATGGAGGCTGGAGGCCTGAGGCCATGGGGTAGTGGCACCATCTACTGACCTGGCGAAATGGGGGAGGAGCGGACCACGGAGACACAGGGGGTTTGGTATGAACCCTGGAGTCTGAGACGTGCTGTGGTTTGGATATGGGTAAGTGTGTCCCCCAGGGGTTCTTGTGTTGGCAGCTTGGTCCCCAGAGTGGCCATGTTGAGAAATGGGGGACTTTAAGAGGTGGGGCCCGTAGGAGGTCACTAGGTGTCTGGGGGTTCTGGAAGAGACTAATGCAGTTCTCACGAGATGATGCTTAGTTCCCACAGAGGGTTGTTTATAAAAGCAAGATGGGCCCCTCCTGGGTCTGTCTGACTTCCGCCCTTGCTGTGTGATCTCCCCCTCTGGCCATGCTCCTGCCAGGATGCCATCCACCTGGAGGCAGCCAGGCAAGACCCACAGAGCCACCACCTTGCTGTCTAGACTTTCAGCCTCCAAACCTATGTGCTAAATAACCCTCTTTCTTTGTAAATTACACAGCGTCAGGTGTTTTGTTATAGCTATGGAAAACGGACTAATAAAGGAACGTGTCAGACATCCAAGGGGTTGGCAATGAGACACTTGCATTGAAGTCTGGCGCTAAGGCAGAAGTCTGGGCTGGAGGTGGGAATCCAGAATATGTGAGGTGCTGAGACATTCTGATAGGGACCAGTCTACCAAGAGTGCCACTTGAACAGAGAATTGGGGGAAAATTTGAGCCCAGGCTGGGGGCACAGATAGGCCTGGTGAGGGTCTGGGTTAGCCACAGGCAGGAACATAGACCTGTGGCCTTCTCTCATTCATGGAGATGTACTTCATGGAAAGGGAAAGAACATTCTGAAGCCACCAGTCCTTTTCTTCATGCCTCAGTTTCTCCTATAGCACACTCCAAGATGCAGGATCTGATCTAGGTTTGCTTTTAGGAGGAGGCTCCCAGAGATGGCGTTTTTGGCCCAGGGCTGCCTCTTCTTCCCCGTGGTGACAGGCCCGGTCCTACCATGGCTGAGGGGTGGCAGTCCCCAGTGAAGGTTCGTTGCAGAGATCCACAGAAGAGCCAGGGGCTGGGTGAGCTATGGGAGGTGGAGACGGAAGGAAGGATTTAGGAAGGACAGGAGGATGAGGGGGAGGGAGAGGGCAGTGGGGGAAGGGAGGGAGGAGGCCTGGGAGTTGAGATGCAGGAGAAGAGAGAGGGAGGAGAGGAGGGGACAGAGACAGAGACAAGCAGGAAGAGAGAAGGGGGGTGGCTGCCACTGCTGCTCTGGGAGGGACAGCAGAGGGGAGGCCGGGCCTGGGGAGGGGCCTGAGGGACCTTGACAGCTTGTGGCAGATGGGGAAGGGGGAGTGGGAGGGCAGAGGTGGCCCGGGCCTCAGGAGGAGTGGGAGTGGCGTGAACATCCCTGGCACCTTCCCAAGGGCGAGTGTGAGGGGCAGCTGGGCGTGGGGCGGTGACATCTGCCTTGAGAAACGGCGCCTGCAGACGGGCGCGGGAGGACAGCTCCTGCCGCCAGGTGGACGCTGCAGAGGAGGACGGCGGACAGCCTGCAGCCACGCCGGTCCCCTGAGCAGCCACCGCTTCTTCCTGTCACGGCAGCAGTGGGCCTGGCAGAGTGCCCTGCCCAGGAGCGCAGCCGCAGCAGCCTCGCCACCAGCCACCACCGGGAAGGAGGCACTTCTGTTTGTCACCACTTTATAGACAGACACCGAGGCTGACTTCCCCGGTTACACGCCAAGGCGTTTGGTGACCTTCTTCGTCACTCCAACCCCACAGACAGTGGAACTCAGGGGGAGTTAGAATGGGGGGAAGCTGTGTCTTAGACAGACAGACAGACAGACACACACACACACACACACACACACAACTAGGACCCTGGACACCTAAGAAAAGGCCCCATCTAGTGGCTGCTCGACCCAAGGGCAGACGCTGGGTCCCCGAGGCCCACAGGCTCATTCACTTATTCAACAGCTGTTTGTGCCTCCGGCTGAGGTGCCAACATCTGTTCTAGATGTTGGAGACGCTGAGCCAGACGGGGGCCCAGCATCCCAGAACTCACGCTCCACAGAGGAGAGGCCCCAAGCAAGTCAACCAATCAGCCAGTGCAGATTGGGAAAAGGAGCAAATGACATAAACTGGGGGACATGGGAGAGTGGCTGGGATGGCCAGGGACAGCCTTTCTGAGGAGGTGGAATTTGATCAAGACCCAAAGTGTAGGATGGATCTTACCCTTTGAAGGTCTTGGAGAGAAGGGTTTCAGACCAAGAGGGTAGCATGTGCAAAGGTCCTGGGATGACAGGGTAAGATGTGTGAGTTAAAAGAGGCTGGAGTCCCTGGAGCAGAATGAGGCTGGGGGGGGGGTGAAGGTTCAATGAGGAAGGGGAGGCTGGGAGGGTGCAGTCAGGGCAAGTGAGCTCCACGGCCACCAGGGCTGGGGTGTCTTCCCTGAATAAGAGGAAAGCATAGTGGGGCTTGAAGAAGAGTGAACATAATTCAGGGGACATTTCAAGACTGCTCCTGCTTATTTCCTTCCATTAAGGAGGAAGAGCTGGCGATGACAGGGACTTGGTCATCACTTGGGCCAGGATGGTGGAAAGAAGCAGGCAGAGCGTGAAATACTTTAAACGTGGAAATACTTTAAACAGGACTCGGGGCTGGGTGTGGACGTGGACAGAGGACCAGGTTGACTCCTAGTTTTCTGGTTCCAGTCAGGGTTGGTGCCATGTATTGAGTGTGGAGGGAGGACAGGCTTGGCAGGTGGAAGGGGCACTGGTCTGCCCAGGGTGCCATTTTGAACGTCCCAGTTGGAGGTGCCAAGCCACCCAAGTGGCATGTCAAGCAGGCAGTCAGAAATGTGAGATGGGCTCTGGGAACATGAGTCCCTGCCCTCCCCCCGTGGCCCGTGGCTGCCCACGTACCTCAGGGCTGCTCCATGCAGCCCCCTCCCCACCCTTCGTTTCCATCTAGGCCGCTCACTCCAGCAGTGTGGGTGCCCGGATGTGGTGGGGAGTGCTTGCAGATGAAGGGGAAGGACGCCTGGCTCCTTCCCTTCCTGGCCTCAGCCCTTGGCCCCTGCAGCTCCCTGCTCTCCCCAGCCTTAAAGCCATGACCCTGTGTGTCTCTGCAGGTGGATGTTCCCTGGGTCCTGGTGACAGTTGCCTCTGCGGGCTGAAGGCCTGAGAGTGGTGACCAGCAACCTGCTACTGCTTCAGAAAGAGCCCGCCCACCTACGAGAAAACTTCAAGCCCTTCTCCAGCTGGCCCCAGCACGGCAGGCACCGGCTCCAGGGCTAGGAAGGCCACCAGCCCCTTGTCACTCGGCATCTGCTCTCCTGCCGTCCTTTAGGAAGCCATCTCTGATTATCCCCGACAAGCCACCCTTTGGCACTGCCACCTCGGTGCACCTTCTCCTCCAGCCCCTGAGGACTGGAGGTTAGAAGTGAGGCGAATTCCCTGACCTGAGGGTAGAGAGGGACCACCAAGGTCTCCTGAATAAGTGACCTATCCAGACAGTAGTCAGTGCTGGAAGGATAAAGCAAGGGGTGGAGCAGACAGGAGCTCCCAGCCCCCTCCCACAGGGATCCAGAAGCAGGGAGCCCTACACTCTCCCCCTGCCCAACCCCAAATTGAGATGCCATGCAGACCTGGGAACCTGCCTACAACAGATCTACCTGGGAACCCTGGGGACAAAGCAGAAATATTGGGAAATGGGATTCTGGGAGCCACACCTGGGGTCTGGCTCTCATTTGCTCCAGGGCTGCCCCCTGGACACCCACAGGTAGGAGCAGCTTGATGCTGATTTTGTGTCTTGGGTCACCAGGACATGTCAGCACCCCCTGCTGCCACGTGGATTCATAGCCAGGAAGATGCCAAGAAACGGGAAAGAGGGCATTAGAGGAATCCCAGATTTCCATCCACGTTTAGAAGGCTCTGGTCACTCCAGACTTAAATTCTAATAAACGTCCAAATGATCTCATCGGGGCGGATTCTGATGTTTAAGGCCCCAGGTGGAACCGTAGGTGGCAAAACCACCGTGATTGTCCTTGCCTCGGGATATCCTCATCTCTCACCTGCAGAGCTCAGCTCAAGAGCATATGTTCCTAGCAAGAGGCCAGTCTCCCTTCCCGCCCTTACATCTGAACCACGTGTGATTTACTCAGAACGCAGAAGTCGTGGAAGTGTCAGGCCCTAGGTCTCGGAGGTCCAGGGCACTTTTACTCCCTAGGACGTTGGCTCCCACTGGGAGAAGAGGCCTGGGCTCACCTGCGGAGAGACAGCGCCCACCTGGATCAGGTACACGTGTGCGCGCTCGCCCCAGGTCAGCCAAGCTGACTCACCTCTGGCCACACACTCATGAGACAGCATCATAGGGACAAAAGCGACTCCCCAGCTGGTCACAGCATGCAAAGCTGCGAGCTGCTGAGAGGCTGCTCTTTCAAGGCAGGACGCTGTGGCGTGGCTCGTCATGTCTTTACTAAGTTGAGATTCCTGGGCCTCAGCACTGTGGCAGACACAGAGCCCACTGAAACATTGTGACATGGTCCCTGCCCCTTCCCTGGTAAGTGTGGGAGGAGGGGGTCAGACGTGTCATGAAGCAAACAGGAGGAGCGGTGCTCATTTCAGTAGGTCACCCAACACACATTTATTGGGCATCTGCTATGTGCCAGCATGGTGCTGGGCAACAGAGGCGTAAAGAACACACATACACACATATACACATGCGCACACACGTGCATGAACAAAATTGGGTGTAAAAGTCCGGGGGGAAATGCTGAGCCATGGTGGCTGAGTTCATGCAGGAGACAACCAGTCAGGAACCAGGGCCCCTGGGCTGGCCTGGCTCAGCACCACGGTCTTGCAGTAGCCTGGCCTACTTCCTCGTTCCCCGCCTGCACCAGTACAGAAGGGGTCACCGCAGAAGGGAAACTGAAGCCAGGGAGCATCAGGAAGGGTCTGAGGGGTCTGTGAGAAAGGCAGGGTGGCCAGGCAGAGCCAGCAGCACCTGCCCTGGAAAGTCCCGACCACAGCGGAGACCAGCCCCAGACAGGGTGAAGGAAGAGGCTGGGCGGAAAAGCTGGGCTCAGCCTGAGATCCAGGCTGCTCCCAGGGGCCCCAGTGCCTCGTCTGGTAGGAGAAAGGACCGGCCTGGTTGGGTGACAGCCTGTTTGGTGTAGAGCCTGGTTCTAAGAGGACAGAGGTGGGGCTGTAGAGGGCCGGCTCCATTCGCGGGGAAATCTGGCTGTCCTTGAGTCACTCATCTGTGTGAGGACAGGCTCCAGGCCTTGGGAAGGCCCAGTGGGGGCGGGCAGAGCCTCCCGGCCAGAGGCGCCCACAGCGGTCCCCTCCTCTGCCTACCTGCCTTTCTCTAACACAGCAGAAGCTCCTTCCCCATCTCGGCCCCTCTAGGCCCAAACCCTGGGTGTCAGAGTCTCCTTCTCAACTCCTACAACCAAGCTGTTGGACCACCTTCCCCTTTCATCCCGACTCCATATCCATAAAATACTAGGTCGAATGTTTGCATGAGAAATAAAACATGAGGAGGAAAAAATCTAGCATCTGAGCACTTACCACAGTCTCTGCATCCCACCCTCCTGCCGGAGCCTGCTCACCTGGGCCTGGGTCACTGTAGCCGCTCTTCACGCTTCTCTCCGCAGCCACCCTGCCCCCTCCATCTTCTCCACACAGCATCCGGCCAGCAGGATGCCAGGTCCCATGCCACCCCTGCTCCTACCCCCCACGTCTTTACCATGCTCCGCCATATGGCCAGCCTCCCCACAGCACTTCCCACTGTCCTCCACCTGTGTGACCTTGAGCAGCCAGCCTCCTGCCACCCAGGGTCTAAGCAAGATGGGCAGCTATGACCAAGGCTCAGCTGCCAAGTGGAGGAATGGGGTGGTCGTGGGGACCTAGCGATGTCAGCTGCCGTGGGGCACTGCTGTGAGCTCCCACGGCCAGACTTTGAACACAGAGGGGTTTTACAAGGACTCCCTTTAGATTTTAACCAGCCACCTTTCTCGATGTCTGGGTGGAGGGTGGGGGTTGGGGCTCCACACCTCACCCAGGAGTGGCGGTCACTCTTTGGGGTAACTGTATGTGTGGAAGCCAAAGGAGGCAGAATTGCTCTTACCGCATCCCGCTCTGGGACACCACAAAGTCTGGAAGGGCCTGCGACTGTGGCCTGCAACATGGGTGACAGTCAGCCTGCGAGGAGTGGGTGGCTGGGCCTCTGGGTCACTGAGTGCACAGGCTGGGGGCTCAGGCTGCTGGCCAGGCACTACTGAGTCACCTAAGGGGCCCAAGAGCCTAAGTGAGGGAGTAGGGGAATCAGGACATGTCCCCAAGCCTCAGTTGCTGGGACAGACAGCCTCCAGGGACTGAGAGCCCACATGGAGCCAGGCACTTGGGGTTCCTGAGCAACCTGCAGGCCCGGGTGGCGAAAATCCCCAACTCACCAAGGCAAGAGGGGACTGGCTCAGGGCCACCCAGGTGCAACCCAGCTGCCACACCTTGAGCTCCCAGCTGTCTTCTGTAGTCTTGTTCCAGAAGAAACCCAGAAATGGAGATCCGTGGGGAAGGGCTAAGCTAGGAGGCTGCCCCCGGGGTCAGTGCTGCCCTGCTGGGGGCCTGGTTCTTGTTCTGGCCGGTGCTGGGGAAGGCAGGAATTTCTCTGTGAAGTCGGGGTGAGCAGGGGTGAGGAGGCTGGAGCGGCCTGGTCTTGCATAAAGGCATTGGGGTCGGGAGGGCCTCACGCGAGCCCCCACTCTCTGGGCCTCAGTCTCCTCACAGCAGTGAACATCAGCCCCTTCCTGGGGCGCTTTCTCATCCCCTGTCTTACTGACCACCAGGGGGACCCCAGGAAGTACTTTTCCCATTTCACGGAGGAAACTGGTCACAGGTGGCCAGCTGGAACGGGGTCAGCTGGACGGCACACCATGGCTTCTGATTCCCCGTCTCTTGCTTCCCTTTCTTAAAAGGCAAATGTTGGACCCGGAGCTCGCTGAGGTGAAGGCTCAGGGTCAGATGCAAACCCTCCAAGACCTGGAGTCATTTACTTGGCTTCTCTGGGCCTGATTTATAAGTGAAGCTGGGAATAGCCTTGAGTAGCCCCGTCCCAGAAGCCACCTGAGGATGAGTGAGAGACAGCCCGAAGCTCAGGGCAGTGCTGGAGGGCAGTAAGCGCTGGCTGGTCTGTCTTCCTCCTGAGCCCTGGACCCCCTGCTGGCCAGGCCGGTCCAGCAGGGCTGTCCTTGGCAGGGTGACATATTTTGGTTTTGTTCTGCTGTATGCTCTGCCTCCAGAGGCTGGAAGCCTTGGTATTTCTCTCCAGACTTTGCTTGTTGTCACAGTTGGTGGCATCAGCTGCTTGTTAGAAAGCCACAACTGGGGAAGCTGACAGCCAGTGTTGCTGTGCCAGCCTCTGGGAGGAATTCATGGTCAAGGCCAGGCCCAAGGGGCGGTGGCTCGAGGCCCAGCTGTGACCAGAGTCAGGTGAGGCTCCAGGGGCCTGCTGTGGCTGAGGGCAGTGGTGTCCTTGGAACCTTCCTCTCTGCCTCCCTCCTCTCCCCCTCCCCCTTCCCCTCCCCCCTTCCCCATCCCCTCCCCCCTCTCCCCTCCGCCCCACATAGAGGGAGCCAGGTTTTCTTGCTAAGCCACAGCTTTGGTTCTACCAGGTTTCCGATTTGTCATCCAGGAGATGACAGGCAATCCACCTCCTGCAACCCCTTCCCCACTTGTTCCTGTTTCCCAACCTGACCTGAGGACTGTCTGTCCAACACATGACTGAAGGCCACCACTCACCAGCTCTGACATGTCCTACATGCCAGGCCCCATGCTGGGCGCTCCCTTTCCTGACAGTATTCTGTCCCCAACCCTCTGATGTGGCTTCATTATTAACCACACTGTACCAAAGGGAGAATATTGAAGCTCTGGTGGGGTGACAAAACCCACCCAAGGTCACATGGCCTGGGAGAGTCAGAGCTGAGTGCCACCCAATTGATGCTCTTTGTGACAGGTGGCCTTGATGATGACAAGATGGCGGAGGCGATGGTGAAGATCTTCTTGGGCTCTGCTGGGCATTGTCTCCCCATGGGTCCCCCTTCACTGCAGGTCCAGGGCAGAGGGGCAGGAAGTGTGGACAGCACTGGTGGTGACCAATAATGTCCACGAGGTGTCGCCCAAGTTCTAGGAAACAGTTGGTTCTAAAGGAAGGTCTTCAAGCTACCAATAGGGGAAAGAGGAAGGGAAGGGAGGAGTCTCCGCAGAAGGGAGAAGACAGACCTGGCTCTGGGTAGAGATGGCAGCCCCCAGGTCAGCAACCAGCCCTCTCCTCAAGCCTCAGCAAGGAAGACTCACCAACCTGGAAAGTGTGGCAGGATGTCCCCAGGGTGGGAGAGGCCCAGGGTGTAAAGCAGGGAGCGCCCCTTCAACAGTGGGACCTGTGCCCCTCCCTGGCACCTTCACCCCCAGGGGCAGCCGGTTACCAGCCGGGTTCCACCCTAAGGGCCTTTGGGGCACCTTCAGGACTGCCACAGTTAGGAGGTCATCTTCTGCTCCCCACACCACCTGGCACCAGATACAAAGGTCACGAACTCCCACTTCTGCTCCCCTTCTGGCCCTGGGCTCCCCGGAGGGCCATTGGTACTGAGTGGCCCCTGAGTGGACAAACCAATGGGTGGCCCGGGCCAGGGCTTTCCACCTTTAAGGAATTCAGCCCAGGAGTCCCTCCTTCTTGCAGTGTCTCAGGAGAGCTCTGTCTACACTGCAGGATACCCAGGCTGCTCTGCTGAAGGTCGTGGTGGTGTGGGGAGCCCATTTGTTCAGCCTGTGTCTCCCCAGGGATCACCCCAACATGTCCCCAGGAAAAACCATGGACCTGGAGAACATCGGAAGCAGCCCCTCTGGCCACCATACCCGAGGATACTCACACCCAGATGACAAGAACCTGAGTAGGGAAGGGGACCCGGCTGGGACTCAGGACCTGCTGTCCTGCCGCATTCTCGTGTGGCTTCCCTGTCACTGACCCACTTCCCTTCTAAGAAGTGTTTGACCTTGGAGCTGACAAAGGACACCATCTCAGGCCCTCCCTGACCCCTCCCCCACTGGGCGCACAAAGCCCCGCCTCCAGCTGTCTCAGTGGCTGGCACAACAAGCTTGTGACCCTTCAGGCCAGAGGTGTGGTCCCATTTCACAGATGGCATAACCGAGACAGCAGAGCTGGAAAGAGAACAAGATTGGCCAGTACCCAGGACCTCCTCACTCCTCCTCCCTGCCAGGCTGCCCGTCATTAAGGAGGTGCCAGCCCGACGCTCAGGATTCCCAGCCTGGTTTATGGCCCGTGTGACTTTGGCAGGTTGCTTTCCCTCTGTGGGCCTTGGTGGCTCAGAGGAGGGAGTGAGGATGGCTGAAACTGGAAAGCCTTGGCCCTGTCTTGCTATCACTGCCCCAGGGCAGGACCCAGGCCCCGCTGCCCGCGGCCTTGACACTGCTTTCCAATGTTCCCACCCTCTGCCTCTCTGTGCTGGAGCAGGGCCACTTCAGCCATGGGCGGGGGACAGGCCATGTCAGCTACTGGGTTTGGGGGAACCTGTCTTCCAAGGGATGAAGACCTGGGAGGGGTCCCTGTGTCCCCCTCTCACTGCCTGGCCAAGGAGGACCCCACAGTAGGAAGGGAAGTCAGACACTCAGGATCCAGAGTGGGGTCTTTATTAATTTGCAGAGGGGATGCGGAGTCCTGGGGGTGCTCTGGGGGCTGTGGCCTCCTGGAGTTTGGGGTGAGGTAGGGATGGGTGGACTCGTAGCAGCAGACTCTCCTCCTGCACATTGGCCCAGCATCCAGAGGGGAGGGTGTGTGCTTGTGAGGAGGGGCCCACAGGTCAGGGGTCAAGACCCCGAAGGAGACTCCAGGTACCCTGTCCCTGCTCTGCCCCTGGCCTGGTGGGAGCCTTGACCCAGGGTCTTGGGGGCCAGCCGAAGAGGGGTGGAGCAGGGCAGCTTGTTGGCTGGGCTCCTGGAGAGTAGACAAGGGAGATACACGTGACTGGGCAGGTCTGGCGGCACATGCAGGTGACCATCGTGTCCTGAGGTGAGCCTAGGAAGAGGCCCCCATGCCGAGTGACCCCATTGCAGCCTCCCCCTTAGTCCCAAGGCTGCTATTCTAGAAGCTGCTGCCTGGGGAGGCTTCTGGCCCCTCCTGCCGTCTCTTCCTGGACATCTCTCCCGGCCTCCTCCCCCTGGCTTGGCTTTCCCTCCTTGGTGACAGTGGGCACTGCCTTGTGGGCACTGCCAGGGCAGGCTGAACTTTCTGAGGGTTGTTCCCAGTGTCCAGGCAGGCACAGCCTCTGGTGGACATGGTATGAAGGTGGATGAAGGCTGCTGACCTTGAGGTGGAGCTGAGGGAATAAGTGACCATGGGAAGGTGCACCTGGGGGGACAGCAGTGCTAGGCGCAGCGGAGAAGCCTCACCTCAGCCTGCAAGTCCCCAGGTCCACGGGTGTCCCCACCCCAGTGCCTCTCTCATTCCTGTCCCTTCTCTGGACACCACCCCTTCTAAAGAGCTGGCCCTTGCCTTCTCTCCTGGCTCCCATCCCCCTGCCCACTCCCCCCACCCCGTTGCCTTCTGGAATTTTCTTCCCAGTGTCCTTCCCTTCCACCTTTGTGTCCCTCTTCACTGAGGTGGGTCAGGTGAGCTCCTTCCCCATGGACAGGACTCCGGACACTTGGCTCCCCTTGCACAGGGTGATGGGGTCCTTGACCTCCTGCCTCTGGCTGCTGTAAGCGAGAGTTTGGAGGCCGGGCCCTGCGTGCTCCCGTCAGGATGCTCAGGGGTCCTCCTCAGGTGAGTGGTGTCCTGCGGTGGGGGTTGGGGATTATATGTGCATGGGTCAGAGAGGCAAGGAGAGGGGCTGTAAGTGTTGCGGGTATATTTGGGTGTCCCCATCCTGTCTCTGTGTGCTCAAGGGAGTGCCACCCTGCACCTGACGCCTGGCTGCATGTGGGCTCAGGCGTCTGCTCAGAGGCACTTTGAGCAACAGGGATTTGGGGGCTGGGACCTGTCCTCTGGACCTGCACCCCTGTGTCACCTCCATGGATGTGGGGTGGGCCACCTGCTGTTAATGGGCTCTAGAGAGCCACAAGCCCCCAGAGCAGAGGAGAATCGTCCTAATCATCCTGCAGGGCTGGCCAGGGACCCCAGAAGCCACGCCTCACAGCCCTGTCCATGCCTGGGAGCTGGGTCCCGGGACACAGCCCAGCATATGCCGGAGGCCAGGTCTTGGAGGCTCAGAGAATCAAGCTGGGCTGACAGAGAGGACTCACTCTCACCTCCCAGCTCTTGCCTTCCACACTCAGGGGAGACCCCAACAAGCCACACGCTTCCCACCAAGTCCAGAACCAGCACCAGGACAAAGTCATGTCCAGAGCTGGGCTGGAAGAGCCGGTGGCCACAGGCAGGGCCGGGTCTCCCGGTCCTCTGAGGCCAGACTTGCTGCAGGGCCCCTGGGCTCCTGCCCTGGTCCCACCCCTGTCTGCTCCAATTGTCTGGTCCCCAAGACAGATCCTCTACCCACTTCGCTCAAACCTCAGGAGTGCTAGGGAGGGGCAGGGGTCACTGGGAAGTGGTGTCCGCAGATGAACTCTGGGGGCGGGTCATAGATGCTGCAGTTGGGCGTGGGGCCCTGGCAGTAAATGTTGAGGTAGCTGCGGTACTGCTCCCGGTACGTCTGGTTCCTGAGACACAGAGCCACGCTCTTGTCACATTCGCACGTCTGCTTGTCACAGTCTGTCTTGTTGAGCTCGCCTGTGGGGGTGGGGTGAAGGCTGTGGGTGGAGGCCCGGGACACGGGCATCTGGAGCACAACTCTGAGAGCCCAGTGGCCCTTGGAATGTGTTCTGGGGACAGTAGCACCAGCACCACCCTCGGGCCATGCCCCAGCCTTCAGGTCAGCTGCTCTGGACCGGGGCCCAGCCGTCCATGTTGTCACAAGCCCTTCGGGTCACTCTGGTGCAGGCTAACATTGGGGAACCACTGAAGTTCAGTTCGTATAGTTGAAGTCCAGCATCGAATAGTTGGGGAAACCGAGGCCCAGAAATGGAGTTGGGTTTACCTAAGTCACCCGAAGAAGCAAAGGCTCACCCTGCAGGTTATCTCCATGCTCAGACCTCCTCCCTCCAGTCCCACGGGCAAGGACCCCCACCCTGGAGGGAGTGGTTAGCAAGGACTGTAGGGTACAAAGTAACACTTCCTCTGGTTCATAGTAGAGCTCCTTAGTACTCACACCGAGTGAGTGCTTATGCTAATTTTTAATTCTATGCTAATATTAATCTTCTATGAACATTTACTTTTTGATGTCCATGCATCCCGGGCGTGTGTGTGGTGTGTGTGTGTCAAGGAAGGGACTCACTGCACGCAATCACGGTGTCGTTCTCCATCGAGAAGTCATAGTGGTCCACGTAGGGGCGGCAGCCCTGGTCAAAGAGTTTCTGGTAGCAGCAGTCATGAGCATGGCAGCACCTGGAGGCGGCAGAGGTGAGCAGACAGGGGCTGCCAGCCCGTCCGTCTCCCCCCAGCAGAGACCTTGGGTCATCTGTAGGCTCCTGGCCCCAAACTCATCCGTCGGCCCTTCCTGAGTCAGACCTTTTCAGACTGCTGCCCAGAGAGGGATATTATTTGCCCAAGCTTACACAGCCGGCCAGAGCTGGGGCTGGTGCCAGGGCTCTTGTCCTTGATTCTGCCTCTTTGTCCTATCCCCAGGGCTTCCCGAACTAAAGCCCAGGAAGTACTGCAGGGCGTGTGTGGCGGGGGTGGGGTGGATCGGGTGGTCCAGCAGCGTGGTCAGGGTGGAGGAGAGGCCTGGGCTCTAGTGGGTGCGGAGGAGCTCTGACTCTACTCCGAGGCTAGGCCTGGCTGCGCCTGATGGCCAGGGAGGGGCGTGGTCTGGAAAGTCAATGGGCATTGGAATATCGAGGACAGGAAGCAAACGCAGACTGGCTGTCCCCACCTCTTATAGGACTGAAGTCATTGCCAGTATGCATTTATTAAGCTCCCCATGATACTAGACTTGGTGCGGGCTGCTGTTGGGGAGATAGGAGCAGAAGCCATGGCTTTTGGGAGCCCCAAGTCTGATGGCAGAAGCACAGTCCTGCCCTCAGGGCAGCACCCAGTCTGATGGGGCTGAGTGACACACCCCTTGCCTCCTATGGGTGTTTGGGGTCATAGCAAAAGTTTGGACAGGGGAGGGGTTGAAGTCCTGTCAAGACCAAGACCAAGACCTTGGAAAGTGCCCCGTATCAGGCTCCTGGCCACTAACCTATCCAACAAGCCTGATCCCTGGGGGAGAGGCCCCTCTTCCTCCTCACAGAGATGGAGTGACCTCAGCTGCCCCACCTGGTCCCGTCGGAAGCCCGGGTCTCCGGCACCTACCAGTCTACCTCGTCCATGGGCAGGCCGCGGCCCCCCAGCCCGCAGTAGCAGCCGTAGCCCACGAAGGACAGGATCGCGCTTCTGCCTGTGGCGGTCTCCACCATGGACTTCAAGTTGAGCAGGCTGCCCTGGGCTATGGACAGAACTATAAGAGAACCAGGGGCTGCGTGAGTCCCTGCCCCATGACTGCCCCCCACCCCAGGGCCAGGGAGAGGAAAAAGAAAGCAGGAAGAAGCAAAAGAAGAGGAGAGGTGAGCAGGGAACTGGAGGAGAGAGAAACCTACAAAGTCCTGGCCTTACCAAAGCTCTATAGCCTGAGAAACCAGATGTACAAAATCCTAAACCGCTCCACTCCCTGCAATCCTCTGTGTTGTTATCCCATTATGGATAAGGAGACTGAGGCTGGAGCACTCAGTCACTTGCCCAGGCTTGTGTGAGAAGGCGGTGGAGACAGGTCTGTTCCAGGGGATGAGGGTTCCTCACCCACACCCCTGCCACCTGGCTGTGCAGATGCGTCATAAATCCTGATAAGTCCTTCGCAGGTTGGAAGTATCATAAGTCAAAAATGCCTTTAAGTCGCCTATTCTACCAAACACCCCAGCTTAGCAACAGAGTCTACTACAGAGCGGGGGCTTCCCCTCGTGGTCGGGGACTGACTAGGAGCCACAGTGCTGTCCAGCATGTGACAGAAGATTGCAATGCATGTCACTAATCTAGTAAGAGATCCAAATTCAAAATCTGAAGTATGGTTTCTCCTGAGTTCATGTTGTTTTCGCGCCATTGTAGGGCTGAAAAATGAAGTCAAGCCATCGATGGTCGGGGAGCATCTGAACACGGTCCTCAAAAGGGCTGCCCAGCGCCTGGTTCCCTGGAAGGGGCTTTGCAAATGCCACCTGCTGTCATAAACCCCAGGGGTTCATTTCTGCTCCCTGGCCTCTTCCTGGTATTCCTTGTCAGGCCCCCACCACGGTCCTGGGGTTGGAGCATCTGAGGATTATGCAGGCATGGAGAAAGCGCTAGTGCAGGGGCACTTCTTGCACCTGCCCAGATGCGTTCTCCTTGCTGACCACTGCTTCCCTTCTCTCTTGTGGTCCTCGCTGGTGTTGGGCTCTGAGCCACATGGGCGGCTTCCACATGCCTTCCTGGTTCTTACCTGGGTGAAGCCTCCCCACACAGCATCAGGAGAGCCACTCTGTCCCCATTTTATGGATCAGAAAATTAAGGCTTGCCCAGGTGTTGCAGGCTGGAAGAGACAGAACCGCAGCTGGGAGGCCAACCAGCACACAGTGTAGATCCTATCTGCACCCCTAGCCCCGGGCTCCTTCAGCTGCACCAGGGTCAGCTGCTTGGCTGAGTGCCCCGTCCCCTGCTCTCCCCACACATTCCCACCCACCCTGCCCTGCTGCATGAATAAGGTGTTCTGGGAGATCAAGAAAGCCAGGGATTTCAGACACTGGAGGCTCGATGAGTCCCCAGCCCACTCTTGCTTGCTTCTTGAGACAAGGTTGTTCTGCATCTCTAATGAGGAGAACTCACTAAAGATGCACCTTAGCGGGAAAAGCTCAGACTCTGGAGTCAGACAGACCTCAGCCAATAACTAAAGCTCCCTGGAGCTCCATGTTCCCATCTGTGAATTGGGAATAACAATCCTGACCACGAGAGATCTGCAGGTCAGTGCCCAGCTAGTGCTGGTACACCCTGGCTACTCTCCGTGCCCCCTCTTGGGGCTTGGTGGCCCCCAGTCAGGCCTGCTCAATTCTCAGAGGGTAGAGGCTGGGAATCCTGTTCCTCCTGAGTCTTCCTGGGTCTCAGCTCTTCGGTCACCATCATTATAGAGAACAAGGAGCAAAGAAAAGAGGGAAGACCAGGAAGAAATGAAAGATGGCTTGAAGAGAACTGTGTGGCACCAGGGGACTGTCTAGCCAGGACCTGGGGGGGTGGGGCAGAAGAGGCCCTATGTCCAGTGAGCTGAGCCCGTCCTGAGCTGCAGACGGGCGGGCGCTGGCCTGAAGGTGCTGTTGAGGACAGCATGACGGAGGCTGGTGCTGGCCCCTCCCTGTCCCCTCCCCCTCTCTGCTGAGCCTTGCAGGATAAGTGTGTGCAAAGCTGCCGGGAGCCACCAGGCCGGCTCAGGTTTCTCCATCAGTCCTGGGCACCCCCCAGACAACTCAAAACCTCCTTGAACCTTCCTTCCCAAATCTGAGAACTGGGGACCATGACACCTCCCTCATGGGTCCCTTGGAGGTTCAGGTGCCACCTTGAATATGTGTACAGAGCACCTGGCCCAGGAAGTGCCTCAAGAAAGGACCTGGCTGCCTTGGGTTCCTGGCTGCCCCCGTCCCCACCTGCTGCCCAGATGTTCCCTGGGGGTCAGCACCAGGCTCCAGGCCCCGACCATCCGCCACACAGGGCGGGAGAGGAGTGAGGCACTTACCGGTCACACACAGGGTGGACTCCCTCACACAGCCTCTACGCTCACACACTCTGCTTACACACTCACAAATACACACCCAGGCGCCTCACCCACTCAGCTTACACCTCTTACACCTACACTTGTGCACACACACATGCCTGCTACCGGCACCTCACCCGCACACACCTGCACACAGCCACACTCTAACGCATCACGACTGTGCTCACACACACGAAGCCACGACCAGCCAATCCCCGTGGTGTGGCTGAGCGCGAGTGGGAGTTTTCTAATGACAGGCCGTTTTCCCATGAGCCGCCAGTCCTTCCTCATGTCTGGCCACCTTGAACCTCATCTTTGTTTCTGGAATGTCTGTCTTTTCCTCAAACCAGGCTGTGTCCAGGGGTGTGAAAAGCCAGCAAGAGGTTCTGCTGACCTCCCATGCATCCGGGGCACCTGCCACGGGGATCCCTGTATGTGTGACGGGGTCTGATTTGCCTGTGACAATCCTGCAGGGTGGCTGCCCCCAGTCCGTGGTGCCTGGAGTCCCAGCCTGTGAGAGAAGCTCCCTGCAGAACCCCCACCCGCCAGGCGCAGACTCTGGGGACACACCACAGGGAACCCACCCTCGAGACACAAGAGGCTCAGGTGCCAGCCCTGACACACTCTGTCATGTGTGGCACACAGAGACACGCCCCTGTGCTCAGAACTCCCCCGCCCCCCACACACAGACAGACGTGTGTCTGGCGGCACACTCACTCCTACGCATGCTGAGGTACAGATCGCCCAGTGAACACTGTATTTTACGACCTGGCTCAGCCCTGTGCCTGCCTCCCTCTGGCTCATAAATGCTGAAGGGCCTGGCGTGTGTAGGATGGCCCAAGGAGTAAACAGCCCCAGGGGAGAGGGGGAAGCCTGACAGGAAGCCAGAGAGAGGAAGGCAACTCAGGCCAGTGGAACAATAGGTGCCCAGGGACACAGGAGAAAGACTGGGAGCCATCAAAGAGGGGTCTCCCAGGGCCTGTGCTCACCACGACCGGCCAGGACAGCGATGACGAGGAGCTTCACGCCCAGGCTGGACCTGAGAGAGAGGACACCCTGAGCCTCAGTTCATCTCCCCACCTTCCCGCAGTTCTGGGCCTCAGCCCAGGAGCCACCCATGCTGTCCTTATGCCCCAGTTACTGCCACCCCAGCCCTGTGACAGCATCCCACACCCGCCCTGTGCCTCCTGGAGGGGCACCCAGGGTGGCAGAGCCAGGATGCACTGGAAGCATCTTCCCTCCACGCCTCCGCTTCCAAAGCAGGAAGCCACAGTCTCAGACCAGAGCCACCCCCGCCTTCCACACTCCAGAGAGGCCTGGGACCCAGAGTCAGTGACCCAACCTGGCGGCTGGGCAGCTTAAACCCACAGCCAGCAGACATGATGGTCCCTGGATGGTTCCAGCCCTGACCACAGGCTGATCCCTTGGCTTCTCTGGGCCTCTAGTGCCCTGTGAGGGGTGGCCAAGTGGTCCCAAAGGCCCTTCTAGTGCTGAAACTACAGGGACAGAGCTCAGCTCTGCACTCAAAAGCTCAGAGCTTCAATTTGGGGAAAAGTGGATTCTAGGAGCCATCCCTCACCCATCCCAGCACCCCTCCGTGGAGAGTTCCATCCCAGGGCAGGAAGCACCTACCTGAAGGTTCTGGAAGGGGCAGAGGCCCTGCAGCTTGGACCCCTCCACGCAGAGCAGCATCTAACCAGCATCTTCTTCCTGAACCCTCTGGGGTTGGCCTGCGCCCCATCTGCCATGCTCTGGGTTCCAGGGGACCAGCAGCATAAGTATTGAGAGGTCCCTGATGCATTCCTCAAATTCCAGGGAACAGGCCCCAGCTTCACGCTCCTCGAACACTGGCAGGGTAGAGCCAGGGCGATGCCCCGGGCAAGTGGCAGATGCCCTAGAAAATGGAGGCTCCACCTCCTCCTCCTCCTGCCTCAGCCCTGCCCCGCGCTGCCTGGTGAAGTCCCACCTCCAGCGTTCTCTGTCTGGCCTGCCCCTCTGAGGGGTTCCTGCACCTGACCAAGAGTTGGCCCCTCCCCAGGGATCCGAAAGGAAATGAGTCCAGAGGCCTCCCTATCCCCATGGGAAGATGCGAAAGTCTTCCATGACATTTACCAAAGGTGCACTTTGTTCAAGGGCAGCCATCGTGACAGGTGGAGGGACCACTGCCCCAGGGTTTTGCAGTGAGCTTCAAAGGAAAAGTGAGGGTTTCTAGCCAATGAATGGGTGGGTGGAAAATTACCAAAAGAAAATACTGGGGCCAGAAGGTTCTGGAAAATGACCTGATGGGCTTCTTGCTGGGTGACTAGACATCATCAGGTGATGGTGGAGGCTGAGGAACTGACCAGGTGTGGAGGGTGATCAGGTACGGAGTAGGGAGATTCCAGCCCAACAGACGGGGCAGGACTCTCTAAGATAGGGTGCCTGGGAAGAGGGGACCTGAGTGGAGTGTGACCAGGAGAGACTTTTGTCAGGGAGGCCTCCACATGCACACATCATGTCTGTACCGTGTCCATCTGGAGTGCCCTTAATCCAGAATCTGCAGAGGACTCCCCGTTCACATCGAGAAGGGGGCTCCACTGCTTTGGAAGTGGGTTGGTGCCCGTGTCCACCCAGGCTAAGACTGGAGGGGCCCAGGCACATGCATCTGGCAGGAAGTCCCCCCAGCTCACATCTGGAGGGGTGAGCTTGCTTGGCTGCACCAGGGCCCCTCAACTTGGGCACAGCTGACCTGGGGGTGGAGACCGCCTTGCGGGCAACCCAGTGCATCCCGGGAGGTCGAGCAGCACCTCTGGCCTCCAGAAGTTGCCCTGATCTCCGAGTTGTCACAACTAAAAATGTCTCTGAACATTGCTAAATGTGCCCTGGGGGGCACCAGGGCCTCTGGTTGAGGGTTTGGTAGGCCCAGGAGTCATCACCAATTGCTCCTTGTTTGGAGTGTGGTGTGCATGGGAGGGAGGGGCAGGAGAGAAGAAGGGAGAGCCCGGGGCTCCAGGAGGCCCCCATTCAGACTGCATAGTCACACTGATGGGGCTCCAACCCCAGCACCCCACTTCCTGTCTGAGACCTTGGCAGGAATCCCCCACTGCGTGACAAGCCATCGTGAGTAAGGATGGCCCTGGCACGCCGGGTGTCCTGTGCTGTGGGGCACGCCAGGTGTCCTGTGCTGTGGGGCGCTGGGCAGGTTCTCAGTTTTAAAGACCTGCTTGTTCCAAAGTAGAGTCTGCCTGATCTCTGGCTCAAGGTGAATCGGAATGTTTTCAGGGGAGAGAAGGGTACTCTCGGAAGTCGACATTCCAAATAATCACCTCACCTGCACAAGGCTCCTTCTCTCCCAGTGTCCCCCAGACTGCTGACAGGGGACCTTTCCTACCTCCAGCTTTGCCAACTGTCCTGATCCAATTAACCCACCTCAGGTGTCACTCACTCCCCCTCACCCAGCTCCCGCCTTTCCTCCACCCGAATGCCTCTGTGATGGAGGACCCTCTCCTTCCCCAGGAAGTTCTCCTGGACGAACCCTCCCCATCCCCCATCCAATCAGCATCACACGGGAAGCTGTTAATTTGCACCTGCGGGTGCGTTCCTTTGCAGATACACGTGTATGTTTGGGTTTGTGGATCTGCACACTTCCCTTAGACCAGGATCCTGGAGAACAGAGGGGCCCCAATTTCCTCCAAACGCCCAGAGGTTCCCCTGGCCACAGGGCGGGGAGTGGCAGGGCTGGTCTCTGCCATTGCTCCTCTGTCTGCCTAAAGCTGAGCTTCTGTGTTTGCGCACACCTCTTAATGAGATGGTCTTGCTCTGAAGAAGGAAGAATCAGGAAGGAAGCCCGGGTACAGTCCCCACACTAAGGTCCAGCCTCCAACCTGCATGTCACTGGGAGCCATCGAGATCTGCGTTAAGGAGGCCAACCTCAAAGCCAGGGACCCCTGAGAGCCTGCGCACAGCACCGCCACCCCTTCATCGTGTGGGATTCCCACCGGAGGTGCTGGATGGGCTGGTCCTCAGAGAGGCCCGATCCTCCAGGGGAAGGATGGGCTCCCCACCCTCCCCCCACCAAGCACGTTGTGCTCAATAATGAAATAATAAACTGGTCCACCCAGAAATTCCACTTCTGGGACTGCAAACCAAGATACAAACCCGAATTGTTCCCAGAGACAGATGAAAAAGGACGCTGACTGAGGTGCTTTCAGGAGCACCCCCTCCAAAAATCAGAAACAAGCTAAGAGAGGGGATTAGGTAAGCAAATTATTAACGATTCATCCATAATCATGTTTTTTAAAAAAATATTGAATGATAAAAAAAAAACATACCTTTATACACAGGGCAATGTCAATTTTTCTCTTTAGAAAAGGGAAGGATTACTGGGCATGGTGGTACATGCTTGTAATCCCAACAGCCCTGGAGGCTGAGGCAGGAGGATTGTGAGTTCAAAGCCAGCCTCAGCAAAAGTGAGGTGCTAAGCAACTCAGTGAGACCCTGTCTCTAGATAATGTATAAAACTAGGGGGTGGGGATGTGGCTCTGTGGCTGAGTGCCCTTGAGTTCAATCCCCACCCCCACCCCCACCCCCACCAAAGAACAAGAAAAGAGAAGGGATTGGTTGCACATATGTAAAATTCATCTGGAGAGATAAATGACAAACATTAGTAACCGTCATCTCTAGACAGCAGATTGACTTTGGGCTTTTATTTTGGGTTGTTGTTTTAGTGTGAGTAGAAAGAAATATTCAACAACTAACGAAAATGGTCTAAGTCCTTGAAAGACACGAACTCATTCAACTGGAAATAGCACAGAGCTAGAACAGAAACTGAACTTGTATTTTAATTCCCACCAACAAACTCCAGATCCAGGTGACTTCACTGGTGAATTTGACCAAATAGTAAGGAAGAAATAAAACCAATTGAATTGGTTTGCTGGGCTGCCATAGCCAGGAACTGCAGGCTGTTCTGGAGTCCAAGATCAAGGTGTAGGAAGGACTGATCTCATTCTGAGACCTCTGTTCTCAGCTTACAGATGGCTGCCTTCTCAGTGGGTCCCCACATGGTCTTTCCTCCGTTTTGCCTCTTCAAAGATCCTGTCTCCAGATGCAGCCACATTCTATGGTACTGGGCATAAGGGTCTCAACACAGGAATTTTGATGGGATACAATTTAGCCCATAAAATCAATTATACACAAATTCCTAGTCGCTGTCACTGTAATAATCAAAGTCAGATGGACAGCACAAGAAAACTACAGACTACTATCTCCCATGAACATAGATACAAAAGTTCTTAACAAATTGTTGACAAATACAAAAATGCTATTATATCATGATCAAATTGGACTTATCCCAGAAATGAAAAGTTGATTTTTATGTTAAAATTCAGTCAATCTGCATGTATTGGTGCACACCTGTAATCCCAGATACTGGGGCAGGAGGATCACAAATTTGAGGCTAACCTTGGCAACTTACTAAGAACCCTGTCTCAAAATAAAATGAAAAGATTTGAAGATATAGCTCAGATGCCCCTGGCTTCAATTCCCAGGACTGCAGAAAAGGAGTCAGAGATTGTAATACACCATATTAATAAACTAAAGAAGAAAAAATATGATATCTAATACACACACAAAACACAGCAAAGCCAATCAACAACAAACGCCATTTGACGAAATTCAGCATTCACTCCTGATAAAAAGTTGTCAGCAAACTGAGAGAGAAGGGAGCTTCTTCAGCTTGAAGGGGGCATCTACAATAAACCTGCAGCTAACATCCTGCTTGATGATGATGAAATCCCATCCCTACCCCCACAAGACCAGGAATTGCTAAGATTGTCCACCCCATCCTTCCATTCAACATGACACTGGTAGTTATAGATAGGAAACAAGCAGGAGAAGAAATGAAGCACACAAAAAATGAATAGATAGATAAAAGGCGTTCAGGTTGGAAAGGAAGAAGCAGGATCTTCTCTATGGGCATCGATGTAATAGCCCATGGAAAAAATCCCATCAGCTCTTTGATACCTTTGATGGTCAGGGTCTCTGCTGTCATCTTGAGTCACGCACATGCTCCTGGAAAGGGCCCTGTCCTGATTGTCTCTGATCTCTCAGGGCAGTGTCCCCTCCTGGCTAAAGCTGACATCTGATGTTATGAAGGTACAGATTTATGAACAGGGCAAGAAGGGCTGAGTCCATCCCAAAGCAGTGTGATCTTGAAGGACTCACGGGGCATTGCATGAATGTGTCTTGGGATGGGCCATAAGAGCTTGAGATTCCCCAAGTCCAGAGGGCATGCTCCTGAGGACCTCCACCACCCAACTAAGAGAGCAGTTGCTAGTTAGAAGCATCTTGAGAGAAATAAAAAGGATAAAGATACTAACATCTGCCTGGTTCTGATAGAGAGTTGAATCCACCAATTAACTCCAAGGCCAAGTAAGTCCTCCCACTCAGTTGGGAATATGAGTCATCTACAACCTCTGCCCTGGTTGCATAATTGTGTTCTTGTACTCAAGCAATAAAATCATTGTTTAAGAAAAAAAAAAAGTCCTGCAGGATTTACAAAAATGCTACTGAGATTATTAACTGATTTTAGCAAGGTCCCAGGAAATGAAATGAAAAATATAAAATAAATAGTAATTGCACATATTAATTATTAATATGTGCAATTACTATTTATTTTATATATTTGTTCATTTTATATAAATGAATCTTTCAAATTCATTTATAGCAATATTGAACACTGTGAAATATTTAGGAATAAAGTTGATCCCAA